TCGAATTGAAAACATCTCCGTGTTGCTTAGAGCATTTATCTAGGAAGGCTATAGGCTATAAAACATCGCCCTGTGACTAATACAAACGAAGATACAGCGGGAAATGTGAAAAAAATTGGCAAAATAATTCATCATTATGGGTTTTCGAGGCGTGCACTGCAAAAACGGTTTAAGCTAGCCTATCTTTTAAGATGAACTTGCAAGAACGACGGGAATTATTTTCCGAGATTATAAAGACGACGGCGTTTGCAAAAATGAATTTGGATGCCCAAAATAACGATTTTCGCGGACGAAGTCGCTGGCACAGCTAGTATTATTTATTCTTTAAGATCAATCCTTTATATATAGGCTACAACCATTTCTCAATTACAAAGGCCCAACAGCTAGAGACCCAAGTTTTACAAAATGGCTGCCTTAAACTACAACTAAAAATGTATATATAAGCATTATGCCCACTCACTGATTGAAATTACGTATCTTACATTCAACACTCTTAATAGAAGTAAAAATTATAATTTTTATTTGTGATTGCATGAAACATAACATTTGTTTAAAACAGTAATAAAACCTATGTTTAGCGTTGAACGAAGTGTAGAGGGGATAGTTGCGCATCTGAACAATCGCCCACGTAACTGATTGGAAAACGTGACTGTACTCGAGAAGCAAGCGGAACGTCGTATTGGTCGAAGAAAGACAACAGGACTGGGGAACCAACCGACGCTAGCGCACATGACGTTCACTCGCCCCGCGCCCGCTTCCCTTCGATACCTTATTTTTGACTTCTGCGCAGAATTCGTTCAGCGCTAAAGATCCATGCCGCTTCTTAACTTGGTAAGGAATATTTCATAATTAAATTTCAGACGAATTACCGCATAACTACTGCAATGGTGATAGCTCCGTATGGAAGAGTAAAACGTTACGTAATGCGTCAAAGCGTTAGTCTAGCTTTGAAGAGCTGGGAAGCTTAAAAAGTAACCACAAAACATTATGACATAAGCGAGTCCAATAAATCAGTGAGCGAGTCTGTGGATCGCGCGGGGGAAGCCCCCGCAGGGAGGGGGTGTTACGGCGGTGTTAAACTACCGCCATATTCAGGGGATGCACCGCGACCTGAAAAAAATAGAGCGTCTTAATGGTATTGTCTATTAACGGTAAGAGGACAAATTTAAACCTATTAACGGTTTAAAACGAACGAAATATATTATTTTAAATTTATTTTTAAGAACGACCCGAATTTTGGCTCTGCATTGACTTTTGCAAAGTTGTTTCATTTATTTTTGAGAAGGTTTTAGATAAGGAAAGGAGTATCTTACCTCGGCCTCTGCCACGTCCACGGCCCCTGCCCCTCCCTCGGCCGCGTCACCTGCGTCCATCGCCCAAACCCACCATGTCTGAGAAAATATAAATTTCGTGACACTATCTTATTGGAAAGTCCCTTCTATATATTAATAAAACTTTTGTGTTGGTAAACAAAAAGTTTAGTTTACGCCGTTTAACTATATTTTCGTATAACCGGACAGGACACTTTGGCGAACAGTGGTAGCCAAAGGACCTTGCAGAGATCTGAGCATCCAACAGCATGCTTAGTTTGTAACTGGTGGAGGAAGACATGGAACCGGCCAGTGTAACGAAAAATGGAGTAGACATTTGCGATGTAAACATATTTACGTAATATTTGACACGAATGTATTATTTTATATGTATTGAAAATAATTTCAAAACATGATTAAACAGAAACCTGATATCCCCAAATTATTTAACACGGCTTATTTTGCAAAGTAGCGTATTCCACGGTTTTATCGCATTGTGCTTAACTTGTAGTCTCATGTGTAAACGGCATAAATTAAGTGAGAAAAGCAGTGCTAAGTGTAAAGGGAGCGTATACCATTTAGAGGTATTTGAATAAAATAGTTCTAATCATTTTTCAGAACTTTTACGAACGCTACATTGTGCACAGTGCGGCACAACCGTTTAATATGCTACTTTGCAATAAGCAGTGCTTAGTTTGTAGGTACAAAATTCCTCAATTTAATAACTTCATACCTCAGTAATAAATGTACGAAATACTTTTTATCTATAGCACCAGAGAAATATTTTTATTCAAAAGGAAATGCTAAGTTACTTTATAATAAAATACTGTCTATAGTGTACACGAGTAGTACGCATTTAAATAAAACACTTTAACGGTTTAAAACGCAATATAAACCGCGATCACGGGGAGACGGCTACTGCGAAGCATCCGAAACGTCGGGCCAATGGTAAAATCATTTTCAGAGAGTTTAACTAATATTCGCGTATTAAACCGTTAAAGTCTTTTTTTAAAGTTTAATAATTATCATATAAGTTCCCTCTAACTAATGTATCGCGTATTAAACGGTTACAAGTGTTTTATAGAAATTGAGCTACAGTTTCTCATTCTCTCTAGATCCACCTCAATCATTTTATTATATCTCGTGCCATGTAATTTTGGAAGATTTCTAATTGTTAACTTCTGAAGCTATTTTGTGCTTTAGCACTTACCTATGTTTGTAGCTGTCTTCTCCAAGTACGCGAGAGGTCCTTGCAATGCTGCACCGGCGTATCCTCCTCTACCTCCAGCGAGGAACATGCTTTGCGCCAGGTTATTTTGCATCTGTGCCAATTACGGAACGGGGTACAATAAATATTAGTACTAAGTATGTAAACAAATAATCGATTATAAGTTGAAACAAAAATACGACTCGGGAAGTACTTAAACCGGCAGCCACAGCGTTCCGTGATGTTGCTCTAACCAATTGAGCTACGGTGTCCTACACGTCATCGTCGATTTCAACCTATTGATACATGCACCTCTCTCACAACGTAATTTCAATCTTAACACTTGTGCTAATTTGTTACTAACTAGTTGTGTGTCATTGTTATTAAAAACAATATCGGTTTAGCCGTTCTCCTTATTAATTTTCGAATACACTTGACTTTGTTTTAATAAACCACAAAATTTTCAATCTAAATCTACCTATATTTTCTTTTTAGTTATTTCAATACCTTGCCTTGGAAAGCACTTTTAGCCACCTGTCTAATAACAGTCCTTTAGTGGACATTGTTAAAGCCCGTCAACCGGTAATTGGCTAAGTGGGTAATTTAGATTTAAAAAATGCTTAACTCCCAATTGTTACGGAATTTTTTAAGTTAATTTTCAACCAAATCTATGAAAACCATTCTATAGAGTGGGTCATTATGTCAACTTTAAATAAAAAAATAATTTCTTTCTGGTGGTGATGAAACATGATTTTTAGGCGGCCTTTTAGCCTAGAGATGTAATAAAGCTTGACAAAGCTGTACCAAAAAATATAATATGTGTACTGACAAAAATACTAAACCTAACTGCTCGTTTTTTACCCCCCCTCTTTTAAAATCACCTAACATTTTTAGGAATTGACTCCATAAGACCATCTGTAGTTTACGCGAGTAGTACACATTTAAATAAATCACTTTAACGGTTTAAAACGTAATATATTTTAGTTAAACTAGTTTGAAAATTATTTTTGATGCTTTGCAGCAAAGCATCCGGAACGTCGCGGTCTGGCCGTAGTTGGAAATATATTTTTCAAACAAGTTTAACTAAATTTAAAAATCGAAAATAAATTGAAAAAAATTTTCGACTCGGGCAGGACTTGAACCGGCATCGTCAGCTTTCCGTGCTGTTGCTCTACCAATTGAGCTACCGAGTCCTACACCTCATCGTCGAACTTTTTCAACTTATTGATACATGCACCTCTCGCGCAATGTAATTTCAACCTTAACACTTGCAATAACATGTGAAAAAATAATGTTTACAAAAGTTTAACTAAAATATATCGCGTTTTAAACCATTAGTGTTTTATTTAAATCCATAAGTGCATACAAAAAAATTTATAAGTGTACTTACAAAGAAATATATTGAACTTTACAATCTAACATTTTCAAGTATCTCATGTGGGTGTTTGTTTAAATGGAACAGTGCAAAATCATATAAAGCTTGCGTGCAAAAAATAAAACAAATAAACTGAAATAAAAAAATATTTATTTCGCAATTAACATTCCGTGGAGTACATACTTAAAATATACATTACTACTATGTACCAACGTTCTAAAGAAAAAAACTACATACAACTGTGCACAGACTAAAAATAAAAGTTACAAAAGGCGTGCTAAAAAAACTACATCTACTCTAATTAAAAAAAAAAGTATTAACTTATCGATAATGAAAAGAATGCTAGTAATAATATCTACACGAGAATTAGGACCCAACCGAAAAAATGAGCCGAGGCCGAAAATTGGCTATCAAAGTTAGTATTTTGACTACTAACTTACTAACTCAACTTTTAAGTTAATATAGTTTGAAAGTTCAATCAATAATTACAACCACAGCTGCAATCAAGAAATCGAAAATCAGGTCGTAATAAAAACAAATGACTGAAATAGTTCGCGTTATAGACTGTTAAAATGATATTAACTAAACACATTTATAAAGGTGTGAAAATTGTAACATTTTTCTTAGATCATTAATTTCGACATATAATTTAAAAATTTATTTAGATCGAAACTGACAACACGGACAATATTTGAGCCACCACAACATTCAATGCGGCTTTAACCAATTGAGCTACCGTGTCACAGCGCTCCACGCTGCTGTTCTCACCAATTGAGCTACCGTGTCAATAGTTAGGTATTGACGGTTCAAGTATTGCCCGTATCGTCAATTTTTTCAATCTGAATAGATTATTAATAAGAATGATGAAATTAGCCGAAATATTTAAGCCAATGCCCAAGAGAGTCGACCATTTCAGCCTTCACCTTGAATCATATACGATATCTGGTCACACAGTAAAGAAAAATATACTATTGTTTATTATAACAAGTACATATATATATGTTCTCAAAAATATACATATATTGATATATTTTAACTATTAAGGACGTCGTCTCACTTTGCTTTTAAAGCTTATGTTTAGATTTAATTTATTGTCCCTGTGGACAAGCTATCGCCTCTGCACCGTATTGGGGTAAGCGGGCGGAAGGGGGGGCCGCGGTACCTGCTGTTGCTGCAAAGCCTGCTGCTGTAGAGCAGCTTGTTGTGCCGCTGCCGCTGCAGCCATTTGCTGCGCCTGATAAGGTAGAATAAATTGTATAGTTTAATTAAAAGTCCAAATGTAGTCTGTAAGGGTTCTGTACCGAAAGACTCTTAGACTTTTATTTAACATTTGTATCTCCTGTTTTCCCTTTTTGGGGCATGGGGCGGACACATTTTCGATCAATTTGTGTTTGTATTTTATTTGAATGTTAGCTATAAGATGAAGTTAATAATTAGTTAATTCTAAGACATTAATTAAACAATATAAGTCGCCTTTTTGCGGAATATACCTGCACACTCTGCTGCACGCTGCACGGTTGCTGCATCGGCGACGCAGCTTGTTGCATCGGCTGCGGCGCTGTCGGCTGCTGGCATTTATTGTAAACAGTGTGGCCCTGTTAAAAATATTTTTTAGGTGGTTTGCATAAATTTGATATTAGCCTAGAAATTGTCTTACCTATAAATTAAGCAACTTTAATTAAATATTTAAAAATTTAAACTTAAAGTAAATAATAATAAAGTAATGTATGCGCATCTATACATAAACTATATCTAAACGGTTTTAAAATGCCTAAAACAATATTTCTGGTATTACGATACTTTTATTCAACAGCACGCCGGCACGGCCCAGAAGTCTATTTTGAAATAAAACACTTTAAACGAACAGACCGCGGCCCGCCGGCCATATAATGGTGGCCCGACTTAGCCCCGCAGTGACCACAGCTGCTGCAAAGCGTCCGTAACGTCGGTCTGTAGTAATAATTAATTGTAAAAAAGTCAACTAATATATTTCGCATTTTAAACCCTTAGTGTTTTGTGTGTACCACTCGCGTAAACAACAGACTTCGTGTATATATACAGACCTGAAGATCAGCTAAGAGATTCTGCCATTGGCTTATCTTATCGTAGTGTCGCCTAAGCAAATCTTCTTTGCGCTGTAGCTCGAACTTCAAGTCGTTATTATCTTCTTTCACAATTAGTTCTGGCTTCATTGCGGACAGCAAAAATCTAAAAAAAGCTTTTTTTATGATAGAGAACAGACGGTAGGTAAGTAATTTAAAATCGAAAATAAATTGAAAAAAGTTCGACTCGGCAGGACTGAACGCTTCAGCTTTCCGTGCTGTTGCTCTATCAACCCCTATCAAGTGAACTATAGAATGCTTTTTTTTTATATCACACAAAAATCTTTTCAAACATGAGACAAATCATCGTTGTGCACACATAGAAAATTGTAATGTTACGTTTTTACTCTCTTTATATAAACTCTTTAACGATTTTAAACGCGAACTATGTTACTTACACTTATTTTAACTACGGCTCGGCGAGTCTCCCAGCGACCACGGCTGCAAAGTACCTATTCGAAACCTCGGGCCGTAATTAAAATAAATAAATAAGGTAACACTACGTTTGACGTAGACAATTGTGTTTATTGAAGTAAGTACTATTTGCGTACCTACAGACAATACTTCGCTTCATTTATATTAGTGTTGCCCAAACGCAAGAACAAGACGAGACTTAGCCAGTCTTGGTCTTGGTCTTGCGCCAATACACCTGGTCTTGGTCTTGGTCTTGCGCTCCCAGTCTTGGTCTTGCAGCAAGAGTCTTGCAAGTCTTGCAATTACCTATTAGTCTATTACTATTTATTAAAGTTTACTTTAAATCCTAGAAAAACGTATTAGAATTGGAACATTGTGAGCTTGAATGAATATAGCCATAGTAAAGATCAAGCAGATTAATAAATAACTGAAGATTTGATAAGAAATTCGAAAAATCAACTGACCTATATGTCGTTTTCCATGGAAGTAACTGTTTCTTAATAAACATTTATGATTTATAAGCTTACATTTGCTAAAACATGTAAAAAAACAAATTAATTACAATAACTTGACTGTATTTTAAAGAACAATACTTATCTGTCTAAAAAGAGATTGAACCCTCAACTTCAATCAAATAGTGTCAAATGTTATGATTTCGGCGTGGCGGCAACGATTGTTTTAGATTTCAAAAGAAGCCGCCGGCGCGTGTATCATAACCATGTACTTCCGAAAAGCGGCAAATTTCTTTGAGAAGTAAGTACAAAACCTTCGATGCCGCATTATCAAAGTGCCGATGGTTAAAACATAACAATGCATGCACTCAGTTTGATTTTAATAATTTTTTTATTCGCTATGTTTATGGTATTAGTCGTAATGCGCATAGGTCCAGTTTTTTATATTCTTTGATACAGTTTTTTGCGTCTCATAGAATTCCTAAGCGTACCTACCTATACACCGAACTGTTACACCTAACTACTCAGTGAAATAGCGCTAAGTCCTAGCTGCAAGACGCAAGAGTCTTGCAGGCTATGTCTTGTTCTTGCTCAAGTCTTGCATGGTCAGTCTTGGTCTTGGTCTTGCTAAAAATACGCGGTCTTGTTCTTGGTCTTGGTCTTGCAAAAACGCAAGAACAAGACCAAGACTGAATTTGGGCAACACTAATTTATATGATTCCTAGATAATTTTAACTAAAATATTTCGCGTTTTGAGCCTTTAAAGTGTTTTATTTAATACAACTCGCTTAAACTTACAATATATATTAGTTAATCTTATTTGAAAATATTTTTTAACTACGGCCCGACGTTTCGGATGCTTTGCAGCAGCCGTGGTCACGGGGAGATATATATCGTGTTTAAACCGTTAAAGTGATTTACTTAAATGTGTACTACTCGCGTAAACTACAGACAGTATTTACGGACACAATTTTTTTTATTTTCTATTTAAAAACAAATACAAACCTCTTCTGCAAGAAGAAAGCCTCCATCTGCCTCGCTAGATCTATGAACCTCTCTACTTCTACTTTAACTTCTTCCTTCTCCACGCATGTCGATGCCTCTTGTTTCGTGAACACGTTCAGACAGTGCTAGAAATAAGTCATTTGTAACCGTCTTATAATGACTAATTTCCTAACCCCTTCGACGACATAGTACCAGGAAACTCTTATGTAAAACAAGGGCCGACCGCACATGCGCGAATCTTAACCAGCTGGCTGGAGTACGGTACGTGATGACGTGACGGTAGCCGGCCCGCACAATCATCACAAATATCAAATAAAAATATGTTAAAAGCTATACAGATCGATCCCCACCTCAAACACTTTCCTAATCGATTTATATTTTTTCTTAAACATGTTTGGAAATCTAAATATTAATGGGTAGTCGGAACATTCCGTCCGTGTCACTTGAGTAATTTAGTAGTCTAAAAGTATTTTACGAGAGCACAGTGACCGAAAATTGTTAACATAATTCTTACACAGATAATAGTACAAATTCATGTCCGCCTTTGTTTTCCTCCTTAGGGGTCATCCATTAATCACGTGAGGCTTGAAAGGGGGGGGGGGGTTTTAAAAAAATCACGAAAAAACACAGGGGGGGGGTGTAGTATCTGTTTTATTTTTTCGTTTTCAATTTCAATTTTTCAAATGGTGTAGACATTTTTTATTATGTCTTTATTTCAGAATAAAACAAAATTATAGTCTATACCTTATTTAAATTAAGATAATATTCAGAAAACTTTAAGATTCTTTGTAGGTACTAAAAATACACGTGTTGTTTAGAAGGGGGATGGGGGGTTGTCTTAAACCTCACTACCAATGGGGAGGGGGGTTAAAAAATTAAAAAAAAAGATCACGTGATTAATGGACAACCCCTTACTGAAAATCATGTTTTTTGATATTAGGCCACTCTACCTCTAGCAACCTCAAATATAAGGCTGTTTAGAAAATGTGTAATTACTGAAATTAATTAATTACATTGAAAGTAATCGAACCCCAAACAAGATTGCCCCGGTCACCAGAACCGTGAAACGATCCCAGATTGATCTCTAGACGTAAGTTTTATAAGGATACGCAAAATAAAAACAAACAAATAATGGACAATATTTTTATTTTAATATCGATCATCAATTAATCTTTATCGGTAAAGCTGAAAATATCGCTCATTATTTTATAATTAATTTGTCAACCTATACTATCCCTACGAATTAATTCTAAGATGTACAATGCTCGCGAGCTTTGTGCGCACTCTTGCGCATATATTTTCGAACGAGATCAGCGGTTCAGGCAGCGCAACGTTCGCGAGTATTGTAAACATAAAAATAAATCAGTCAATAAAAAATGCAAGGGCGGATCCAGCTTTAAGTAAATGCCATAACTCGCCTGGTTTCGCCCTTGAGAAGTGGCTAAGTTTAACATTATTCTAAATTAATCAAAACGATGCTACCGAGAAAATAAAATAGTCAATTTTTGACATTACACTGAAAAGGACGTGGTGACGCTCAAAATTCATAAAATGCCTTCTTTTTGTAATTTTCCCATACGTAAATTCAGTATTATCAAACTTTCAACGGTATAAAACGCGAAATATATAATAGTTTCTTTAATGACCCAACGTTACCCATGAGCACGGCTGCTTTAAAGCAAACAAAACGTCGATTGTTTTAAATTAACATATATTTCGCATTTTAAACCGTTAAAAGTGTTTTCTGAGATGGATAAAATTTGAAGTTCGAGCGCATTGAAGAAACATATAGCTTTTGACTAGATCTGATAAGGCGACATATAAATATTAAAATTTCAAACCTACAATACAATTATTTACATTTGAAGATATTCTCAAGATATTTTTTAAAATAATTTAACGATACTATTAGTCGTGATGTATTTAAACTCGAAATAGTTTAGTCCAGCGGCAAAAATCATTAACTAAATATAGATAATTTAAAACTGACAGTTAAAAAAACAACAATACTCGCAAGAAGACCATATGAAAGTTATACATTTGAAATTGTTTTTGGGTCTTTCAAGTCTCTTAGAGGGTATAGGCATGTTCCTTCCTAAATGTGTAAAATCCATGTGAACGAGCGAGGTCCGAACTCCGGACCCCAAGCTAACAAACAGAAATCCTGCATGTGCGAAAAATTCAATATTTGCATCATACCCCTCAAGAACTTTATTTACACAAATGCGTCAATAATCAAATAAAATGATAAATACGTTAATTCCTATATGGTCTTAGAATATTTCAATACTAATTATTATCACACTTATAAAATTATTAATTTTATTACTCACATGTTATGTCGACAGAAATGTATCTCTATTTTCAAATGAATATGTTGTTTTAAATTAATTCAACAACATTTTCATTTGAGTGTTAAATTATCTATGTATTATAAAATTCACATAATAACAATTCCAAATGAAACTAGGAAATTGAAAAATAATTAAAATTACGACTACATAATATGTTTTCTTCTGATTTTTTAATCTTTGTGATATAAATACTCATACGAGGCCGCTAGAGGCAGAGTAGGCTAACTGCAATTTTATGACTTGACTTTTTTATTTTTGTGTAGTCTAAAAATGTTAACATAGTTCTTAGACAAAACTTAATTGCGCTTTTTATTTCCCTCCTTATTGAAGATCATGTCGTTTGTTAGGCCACTGTGCCTCTAACAGCCTCATATATCATCTCTATACATTATTTTATTTACGATAAACAAAATAATTATGTTGAAATTTTGTAAAATAAACAGCTTTTGTAATGTTGTCTCAATTTTAACATGAAACAATTCTAGAAATAAAGCTTACCTTCTAATAATGTAAGTATGTTCCCCGAAATATGACAAAGGTAAAATAATAATCATATTAAATTAACATATTTATTATAAAACACATACATAAGCCATATTTAGAGAAACATACACTTAACTTAAAATATTTCCTATTTCTGATAACCGTACCACGGTGTTTGGTAGGGACTTCTGTAGTAGGGGTGAGTAGTCATTTGTTCATATGGGTTATTTTGCATATTATGGATGTAGTAATCTGACTGCCACGGACTTCTTTCTGGGGGAGGATTATAATTTTGTGATGGTGTCCCTGGCAACCTTTGCGTCTGGTAAGTTCGGTAATCTAGAGGAGCTTCCAAGAAAATATTGTCATTGTATTGTCCTATTGGAGCTGGAACGGTTTTTGGGGGATATTCCTGATTAACTGGTACGTTTTGAGGTTTGCTTTCTCTCTGTGAATTTTTCTTGTTTGACAGACTAACTGCCTCACTTTGACTACTCGTCATGAATTTGTGGAACTCACTTTCAAATGCGCTAGGATTTTTATTTATTGGCGGTAATACTGATGGTACTCGTACATTTGGATCTTTGATTAGTCCGGTATAGTGTTGTGGTGGGTGGGGAGGTCGTTTAGGCGGGACAGGTTTTGCAACCATGCTCTGTTCGTTGTAAATTTTGTTTTGCCTAGCCATCACTGGTTGAAGTGGAGAATGGTATTCAAAGTCGGGATTAAATTTAGGTGTTCGTGGTTTCCTTGGTTTGCGTTCAGCTTTTTCACCAGGGGATTTTTTCGAGTTTAGGCTTGGGGCTGCGTTTCTTAGGTTCCTTTTTGACAACATCTTTAACTGGTTTCTCGGTGGGTTTTCTACGCTTTTTGGGTTCTGCTTTTATGTTTGTTGTTGGTAATTCAGGTTGTGTATCTACTTTTACATCTGTTATGCTTGTTGTACTATTTAAAGGGTCTGTTTGAACAGCATCAGCTATTTCAGAGCTTGTGTCATGTGGTGGAGATTCCCAATTTGAAATGAGCGCAGACATATCTAGTAGCTCTTCATTTGACAGCTTTTTAGTTTTCATCCTGCGTTTTTTCGGTGTTGTATTTGACTTATCTGTATCTGTCTCAGATTTCTTTTCATCTTTGATTTTTTTAACACTCTCTTTACGTGCTCTCCTTACTTTTGTAATTTTCTTAGATTTAGGTACTTCATAATCCGAATCTTTGTCTGAATCCATATAACCAATATCGGGTAACTGAGCCTCAGATGGATCCATTTCATCACCTTTCAGCCATATGTCTTCAAGTGCATCTAATTGTGGGTCTCCTGGTTCCATTGGTAACATTGGCCTTTTCATTGAAGTCATCATATCCAGGTCACCTTCAGCCATAGTCATTTCATCATCATCCATAACATCATGTCCCAATATTGAAACAGCAATTGCCCCTTCAGAGATGCTTTTACTAGCCATAGCCCTTTTCAAGTGCAGTGGGTGACGTTTCTTTTTCTTCAAACCTTCTTCTTCCGCTTCGATGAATGTTTGTGGGAGCTCTGTGTTATTCTTATTGCATAGGATATCTTGACCGGAGGGATGTGGGGCTGGTACCATTTTCTCTGGCTGTTCCGGGTGGCAGCCTATGTCTTGACCTTTAAGCCACAATTCATAACGATCTGGTTGAAAACGCTTAACAAATGTATCCATAGATATTTTAACCATGTCGTTACTACATGTGCATTGAGTAGCACGTTTGCCATATTCAACCCATCGAGGTGCTGCAAAGTTAGTCGATTCAGCACAGTTGAAGCCATGGTTAAACCCTGCATGATATCCATAAGGAAATGTAATCATTATTTCCCCAGCCTCTTGGGTAATTTTGTTAACAGGTATAGAATATTGCTTTAATATTTGTGGTGATATTAATGTCATCTTATGTCTAAGAAACGCTTGACATGTTTTTGCTGATGTCGGAAAGAAACCAGCAGCAGTCCTCTCAAATCGTTTACCATGTTCCGGGGGTACAGCATACCAAGTTTTTGGCTCTCCGAAATGTAAATAATTAATTGAATAAAGGTCCATGTCTTCTGTGTGCCACGCAAATGTTGTCTTCCACATCCCAAAGTACAGATATGCTGTATTTACACCATCAATTTCTATGCCATAATCAGAATTGACAAAGTCCAGGATAGTGCCTAACCTGTTGATATTCCATTCGTTCACATCTGGGTCTGTGATACTTCCATTAACATCTGCCCCGTAAATAGGCGCTACATATGTAACATTCTTCCAATATTTGCGTTCGAGATCTTCGAAACTAGAGTGCCGTGGGGTGCAGTATTTTGCGGACTTCGCCAATACCGCAAATTGTTTTACGGTCATAGATTTCTTCTGAATATTAATTTGTTGAAACAAACCTTGCTTTCCGGTGACTACTTGACAGATTGGTGATGGTATTGTGATGTTCAGGTCGTCTAAATCATATCCACTTCGCCTCGGTACCCACTCCGGCGGAGGAATTACTTTTGCAAGACCAGCTTTATGTGCGCCCTTTGACTCCATGTACTGAACATACTTGTTGAAATCTTTAAATTCCTCCCATGTTGGACGAAATACTTGTATACTGACTCCACTTCCCGATGTGCACATGTTTTCATCTCCACCAGACATTTCGTAAATATAACACGATCACAGTGGTTCACAATATTTCGTCACTTAAAAACACTTTCATACTTTTATTCCTCAACCATATTTAAATAGAGGATTGGTTACTTGCTTCTTTGAAATGGTCATAACATTAATTCTGTTTATTAACACGCGATTTCCTTGTAAAACCGTAGATTTATATCGTAAAAATTAAAAACATTATCAGTAAGATGGCCGACTTGAATGAGATGCGCTTGCAACAAAAATCACTATTAACCAGTCGAAGGCCCATAGGTAAAATTAGGTCACGTAGACAAATATTCCAAAGGCATTTTTAACACTAATGTACCAATACACACTATGAAGCTTCGAGTTCCTTTTAGACAGTCCACGATATGTATAGTGTCGTTATGTTGGCACTTGTGTGTTATTTGACAGGTGCCGGATAATTGTTTAAAAACAGGTTAGATTAAACACTACCACTAATTTCCAGTTTAAATTGAGCATGAGAATAAATATGACTTACCTGGAATGATTCTTCAAACTCATCCACTAAATTACCACTACCGTTCGATGGGGCAGCCATTTTGATTCACTATATCGAATTATTTAGGTTCCTGTTGTTTGTACACATTGTCAATAATATCCCTTCTCAGATGACAGTTCACAGATTGTGCCTTCAGGAATACTTCACTGCATAATCAACAGATTATAAGTTACAACTTTAGTGTCGTGTCAGGACTGTAATACATTATGTTGAATTCTTACAAATAAATATTTTAAACAAATTATTCAAAACCAAACAAACCTAAGTCTACAGTTTTAAGTCAAAAGTCATTGTGTAATGTAATATGAACTCATCTCTAAAATGGCAAATTAGCAAATTTAGTGATTCAAATGTTGAAATGAATTTTTCATCAAAAAACTTTTGTTTTATTTACCCTTCTATTATAAAACTTATTTTTGACCACTTGCAGAAATAATGATATTATACTGAATGCGGGCATTACTTTACTCGTTCATCTTTCATAAGCTGTATTCTTCAAGGAATTAATTTTTATACACACCACAGACTTAATTAGATTCCCTTTCGCACTATATACCAACGTCGTGGAAAGTCTCAGATATAGATATAAGAAAAATAACAGATTATAAATTTAGAATAGTTGTCGTTTGTCACATCCATCTCGTATACAATGCGATAGCCTGTGCTAAATAGTGCCGGGATCATGGCGTCTTTAGCAATAAGCGAAATAATATTCCAATAACCTCAATATTTTGTGACTTTAATTATTTTACGTTGTTTATAGAAAAGTGAGTGATAAGCTTAAGATTCCAAAGTATAAAACTACGAAAACACCATGGCGGATGCTGCTGCTAGACAGCTGCAGTATGAATATAAAGCTGTAAGTTATGTTTTCCTTGACTATTACACCACTTATAGTTTAACATGAAAATCGTTCTTCTAAAAACCAAGTCAAACAGATCTATGTTTAAACTAAGCGACATTCATTGAGATAGCCCTAATATTACCATGGTTATCAAATCTCATATCAGACTCTGTAAGGGAATCAGTTTTCACAACAGTCATCATATTTCAGAACTCTAATCTGGTACTCCAAGCTGATGTGAGACTAATAGAGCGCCGTGGTCGCGATGAGGCGACAGGAGAAGTCCTATCCTTGGCGGGAAAACTTACTGGCACCAAAATGGGTGACCGGTCACAGAGAACAAAGCCGGATAAGGCTGAAGAAAGGAAAGCCAAGTAAGAGCAGATTTTTCTCCTTAATTTGTACACAGAATACATTTTTTTAATATGGAACCGCAGATTGTAAGATCATTTATTTTGACAGCAATGTATTTATAGAGAAAGCTAGAGTTTATCATGTTAGAACTCTAGTGTACAATGCAGTATAATACATTGCTTCCCATCTTTTCAGGCGTCAAAAACGTGATGAAGCATCATATGAGCTATCAAAATCAAAGTCTGCCAGAGTTGCTTGGGCAGACGACACACCAGCTGGTGTTTTATACAGACCGAGAGCTCAACACACACGACATGCTTACGAGTTGCTTCTGGCTTTTATGCAAAGTGCTCTTGGTGATCAGCCGAGGGATATACTGTGTGGAGCATGTGATGAAGTGAGTGGCATATATCTTGCTATAATATATTTAAGACTGTAGATTTAAAATTGCACATACAATAATGCCCTGCTTGTTTATTGGTCATGGTATTTGACTGCAGATTACCAGATCCTTTTTTAAATCCGTTCAGAATTGGAAATTTTCTTGTACCAATTCAGGGTCGTAGAGTTTGAAAGTAGTATGTGTATTGTCTGTGCCTTAAAGGCATAATAAGGTCCTGGTTACTATAAATAATTTAGAAACGTTATTTGTTACGCCACCAGAGCAACATGGTGTTATAGGTAAAGTAGCTTGTAAAACCATGTCCTTTAACGGTTTAAAACGCGATATATTAGTTTTAACCCGTTAAAGTGTTTTATTTAAATGTGTACTACTCACATAGACTATATACAGTATATACACCATGTCCTATGCAAGAGGAGATCTATGCACAGCATTTTGTAAGGTTGAAGTGACATATACACTGCATGAATGACATCAATAAAATTTTTCTTCTCTGTTTCCTTGGTCAATTTATTCACATCAAATGTCTTCCACAACTAATACTTACTTAGTTCCGAACCAAAGACCTCATAGTCGTAAGTGATGTTACCAATGGCATATTGTGTTTCCAGGTGTTAGTTGTTCTTAAAAATGACAAATTGAAAGATCCTGAAAGGAAAAAAGAGATCGAACTTCTCCTCGGCCCTATTGCTGATGAAAGATTTGCGGTTCTTGTCAACCTGGGTGAGTTATTTTATTTATTACAGCTTTAGTATACATAATACATGAGACAAAAAATACAAAAGATAAAGTTACATACTAACTTATAAATAAAAGGCGGCCTTATTGCTAAGTAGCAATTTTTTTCCAGGCAACCTGAAGTACTTATGTAATTGAAATAAAAAAAGGCTTATTAACTGGGTAGGTGTGAGGAATAATAAACCAAATTCTAGTTCATTAAAACTGTTGAAGTTTATTTGTTTGCATAAAATCTCTCTAAATATAGCACTTAGCACAAAATTAAATTGATGATATCCTAGAGAAATCAAGTTATAAATATTTTAATAAAACACTTTTTAAAACGCAATTTATGCCCCCCCCTTGACCACGGCTGCAACATAGCATCTGAAACATCAGGCTCATCAAAAATAAGTTAGCTAAAATATTTCGCGTTTTAAACCGTTCTTAATCATTTCGTTTAATGCATTTTTTCTCATACTTAAGAAAGGGTAACTGGTGATCAGTCTTGGCTCAATTTGCTCAGTTGTGTTTTTATTTTAATATATTCTATTTAATACATATATATATATATATTAAAAAAAATAATATAAATATTGGTGTAAAATTATAAATAAATACATGAAACATTTAATTTTATCATTTCCAGGAAAGAAAATAACTGACTTTAACGTTAATTCATCATCGGAGGGCAAAACAGAAATTGATGAGACTTACGGGATTAATGTACAATTTGAAGAGTCTTCAGAGGAAGATGATGAAGATGCATACGGAGAGGTATGAAGCTAATAATATAACAGGATCTAGAAGCCAACCAAAGACCAACCACCAAGCTCCTTCTTTACAAATGTGACTATGGGCTCAACTTGAGTACTTTTAATCTATACTAATGTATAAGTTTGTTTGACCGCACTAATCTCAGGATCTTATGTAACGTATCGCGCCCTTTGGCCAACATCACTCCTTCCTCGATAAATTGTCTATCCGGCGAAGGATTTTTCGATATGATCTAGTTTATGAGATTAGCTTAACGTTACAACTTTATAATATTAGTATGGATTATTATTTTTGCATATTTCTGTTCATTCATATATGTTCTGAACATTCATACCAATTTTTAGCTCAGGAAAGTAACACATCTATTTTAAGCGCAAAATGATTGGACTATAAGTTAGTTTAAATTATGTACTACGCAGAAATGTTTAATGCTAATGTTATAATGTATTCTAAATAGATAAGAGAGGAAGAGAAAGAAGAAGGTGAAGGGACAGACAATGAAAAGGAGAAAGAGAGTAGCGGTGAAGATGAGAGTGACAATGAAGGGAAACGGAATTCTATTCATACCAATGTAAGTATATGAATACTGATAAAGAGATTAAGCTTATATTCTCAAAACCTTGATTTTGTATTTTTACAACAACAAAAAACAATCTTTGCTTATTATATTTCAATAAAATACGTGCAGTGGTTAAAAACAAGATATATGTTAGTAAACTTATCCCCCCTGTGACCACGGCTTGTGCAAAGCATTTGACGGGTCTGTAGTTGAAATTAAGAATAAGTTATGTATATATACATTACAGTATAAAAACATAAAACACTTTAACCGTTTAAAACGCGATATATTAGTTAAACTTACTTGGGAATGAAGTTAAAAATCATTCCCAAATAAGTTTAACGAATATATCGCGTTTTAAACCGTTAAAGTGTTTTATGTTTTTATATGTTGGCATTGTATTAATTAAAAATCTATTTAGATGAATATAATTTGACGACAAAGACGGGGTTTGAAACGGCATCCACAGCAAATATGTAATTTATGTTTGCACATGATGGCATTATATAAATTAAATTTCGAATTTAAATATAAAACGGTTCGAGCAACAGAACGAAACGCGGTGGATTCCGGTTCGAGTCCTGTTCCGTTTCGTAATTTTTTTTTAATAATCTATTTTGAAAGTAATAATCTGATAGAATTTTCTAATTCTCTCCTCTCAGCTGTCAGAAGAGCAATCTCAGAAGCGGAGAGACGCCACCTTGCACCCAATGGACATTGATGCATACTGGCTGCAGCGGCGGCTCTCCAGACATTTCCCAGATGCTATGTTGTCACAGGTATACAACAAATATATATAGTATGATAGAGGAGGACAGACAAATTTATTGCGGGTAAAATCTTGGCTTTGGATATTTGGAAATCCACAGAACTAAACACGCCTTTTCATCTGTGGTTGCTAGATCAGGATGGAATTTCGACATTTCACCATTTTCATTTTAATATACAGATTACCAGACGAATGCCGATATGTTTCAGAAAAATCATAAAATTGATTAGGAGCACTGGGAGACGTTGGAGACTCCCTTGACCACGGTGCAGCAGCTCGGGCGAAGTTAAAACTCCTTTTCAAATAAGTTTAACTAATATATCGCGTGTTAAACCGTCAAAGTGTTTTATTTAAATCAAACAAACACTTCAGCTATTTTATACTAGTATAGATTATGACCAATCCAACTGATTATTATCTTTTTTTAGGCAAAATCCAGCGAAGTGCTGCAAGCCTTGGCTGAAGCTTCCGATGACAGAGACCTGGAGAACCGCCTAGTTCTTCTACTCGGCTACGACTGCTTCGATTTCGTGAAGGTTTTGAACAAGTATAGATACATGAGTGAGTATAAATAGCTTGCTATTCTATTTTATCGTTTAATACACACAGAATAAGAATTCAAATACCATACCAGCAGTCCCTTTGATTAGAGCGTTCGTACAAACAAACTCTTCGGTTTTATAATGGTGTAGATTTAAATTGAAAATCGATTATAACGTTTTGAAAACATTAATATTTTTCACATGTTATTGCACATGAAGGCACTATATAATTTATTTTCACTATATATATATATTTTTTTTTTATATTTTTTTTTCGATTTTTAAATTAATAGTGCCATCATCTGTGAAAAATATTAAAGTTTTCAAACGTTATAACTTTGTAATTTCATCTTGAATGATTTCTTAAGCTGCAAAGCATAAGACATTGAACCTTAGTACGCGAGTGTTAAGGTTGAAATTACACTGCGCGAGAGGTGCATGTATCAATAAGTTGAAAAAATTCGACGATGAGGTGTAGGACTCGGTAGCTCAATTGGTAGAGTAACAGCACGGAACGCTGACGATGCCGGTTCAAGTCTTGCCCGGGTCGAACATTTTTTTCAATTTATTTTCGATTTTTAAAGCGATTATAAATTAAAAACAAATACGACTAGGGCAGGAGTCGACTTTAATTCTAACCAATTATGCTACCGAGTGCTACGCGTCGTCGTCGATTCTTTTCATTTTGTATACGATCTATTTATATAGTGCCATCGTGTGCAATGTGAAAAATATTTTTTTACATGTTATTTATTGCACATGAAGGCACTATATAATTTAAAAAATCGAAAATAAATTGAAATGTTTGTTTTTTTTTTTTTTTTTTTTCAATTTATTTTCAGTTTTTTAAATTATATAGTGCAAGAACATGTGAGAAATATTAAAGTTCCCAGCTTTAATATTTTTCACATGTTATTGCACACGATGGCACTATATAAATAAATCGTGTACAAAATGAAAAAATTTCGACGATGAGGTGTAGGACTCGGTAGCTCAATTGGTAGAGCAACAGCATGGAACGCTGACGATGCCGGTTCAAGTCCTGCACGAGTCGAAAATTTTTTCAATTTATTTTTGATTTTCTTTTAAATAATATTAAAGCCTTTCAAATAGAGACTTGAGATTTGAACCAATGTTTCTATCAATGACAATCATTTTTCAGCATGTGTTCGTTATCTATTATATATAGTTATTTCTGGTTTCTGTGAACGACTCTGTTGCCAAGATCACGGAAACAAATCACGTTAAGATTCGTTCGGGCTGGGCACAGAAGTCCGATCAACTACTTGCCCCCATTTCGCCAGTTCGCCCCATGCCTCACGAGGGGAAACGGGCTTTCACTATAGTAATTTGTGTTTTCAGTATTATACTGTACAAAGCTGGCATCGTCCCAGTCGGAAAGCGAGCGATCGTCCATTCGGGAGGAGATGTCCAAGCAAACGCATCTACAGAAGATCTTAGCTCAGCTGGAAACCGGCAAGGGTGACGAAGAGGTAATCACATTTTCAGGGTTTTATCACAAGACAGAGATTGAACGAACGAGTATTTTAACCATGTACCGACGTTTCGGATGCTTTGCAACAGCCGTGGCCACGGGGAGACTAAAGGTGGAGGATGTCTCTGCCGTTTAACAATATTTGACCTGTCTAGTTTACGCGAGTACACATTTAAACGCGTAATATATTAGTTAAATATTTTAATCATGGACTGACGTTTCGGATGCTTTGCAGCAGCCGTGGTCATGGGGAGACTAAAGATGGAGGGTATTGTCAAAGTAAGAACTGCAACGTTAGTGCCATCTGTAACTGTAGTAGTTGGTGTTTGGCAAAAACCGTGACCACGGCCGCTGCGAAGCGTCCGAAACGTCGGGCCAAAGTTAAAAATTATTTTCAAATAGGTTTAACTAATATATCGCGTTTTAAACAGTTTTAATGTGTACTACTCGCGTAAAATATAGACAGTATATAACTCCACTTATCAAAATTAACTTTAGACCTGGCTTTAGGGACTAGAGGGACTCGTTGATGTAATGTTAGCAATGTACGATTAGTAATAAAACGTGGGTTTGATTCCCACGGGTCCAACGTTTTCTTTTATGAATCATGTTGGATTTCGTCTGGAAATATTTGGATAATTGGATGGTAGGAATATCGTAATTCCGTCAGTGTCAAGAACCACGTTTCACAGATGAAAAAGCCGTGAAAGGGTAATCACGTCTCGCTTTTAGTCTGTGGATTTCCGAATATCTTAAGCGAAAATAGGTCGGCAGTGCATCTTGTTTAGACGCTCTTGGCTGGGGGGGGGCCTATTTCACCTACCATCAAGTGAAGTGCTAGCCTCCTCCATCATTAGAAAAAACCTAACTATCCTTCAATTTTTTTCCTAGATGACAGAACAATCGGAGCAGCCCCGTAAACGCCAGAAGACAACTGACCAGGGCAACACGGCTGGACAGGTGACAGGGAGCCGGAAGATGCTGCAGCTTGAAGAGCTGGTCTTCGCTGCTGGAGCGCACCTGATGGCCAATAAACGGTGTCAGCTGCCGGCCGGTTCGTTCAGGAAACAGAGAAAGGGTGTGTTCAATTTGGGTCAAGATGTCTGTATATAAATGCCGTTGCTCTAACCAATTGAGCTATCGTGTCCTACCTAACCTAACCAATTGAGCTACCGTGTCCTACCTAACCTAACCTAACCTAACCAATTGAGCTACCGTGTCCTACCTAACCTAACCAATTGAGCTACCGTGTCTTACACGTCGTGGTGGAGTTCTTTCAACCCATTGATACAAGTACTTATCGCGCAATGTATTTTCAACCTTAACACTTGCCGATTAAGGTTCAATGTCTTATGGCTTTGTTAAGAAAATAATTGAAGATGAAATTACAGAGTTTACCATTGGAAAACTTTAATATTTTTCACATGTCGGCATTATATAATTTAAATAAAACACTTTAACGGTTTAAAACGCGATATATTAGTTAAACTTGTTTGAAAATGATTTTTAACTTCGGCCCGACGTTTCGGCTGCTGCAAATAAGTTTAACTAATATATCGCGTTTTAAACCGTTAAAGTGTTTTATTTAAATGTGTACTACTCGCGTAAGCTATAGACAGGCATTATATAAATTAATACTTTATTTTAGATTAAAAAAAAACGGCACGGAACGCTATTAATGCCGGCTCAAGTCCCGACCGTGTCGTACATTTCTTTTTTCATTGAAACCGATTTTTAATTTGTATAATGCCATCACATGTGAAAAACATTATAGATTTCAAATATCTGTGTGTGATGTGTGAAATCCCGTTTCACCCTCGTGGGGCATGGGGCGAACACATTTCTGTGCCCGTTTCACTGATCCCTTCTTTAACAGGCAAGTAGTTTAAATAGAATACTTAACGGATTAAAACGCGATATATTAGTTAAACTTATTTGAAAATGATTTTTAACTTTGGCCCTACGTTCGAAACGCTATATTGAAATATATCGGGTTTGGACCCGTTAAATTGTTTTATTTAAATGTGTACTACTCGCGTAAACTATAAACAGTATTTAGGCAAGTAGTTGATTACACTTCTAAGCCCTACCCGATCGAAACAACTTTTTGCTTTCCTGGAATTCGAACCGTATTGAATATGTTTAACCGTTTGGCTACAGAGGCGATCTCTTGTTTGTAGTAGTTAATAAAATACTTTAAACGGTTTAATACGTTATTTAATGATTTTTAATGTCCGTTAGGTTACGAAGAAGTCCACGTGCCAGCGTTGAAGCCAAAACCATTCGAGGAGGAGGAAAGCTTGGTGGCTATTGAGAAGCTGCCCAAATATGTACAGCCAGCGTTTGAAGGCTTCAAGACCCTTAACAGAATTCAGGTAATGTACACATTATGTATATTGTACTAGCTACTCTGGTAACCGTTGATTTGTTGTTTGCAAATTCAATATTATTATATTGATAAAAATGTAACAAAAACTTTGTCGATATACATTTTTTTACCAAATTTTATTAAAAGATAGACGTATACACTCTCGGGCATTTTTTTTTAGATAATTTAAAGAGGATTTTTAATATCGTGAACCATTTGCAGCGTGCAAATCTCAAAGTAGGTTGCTTCGTGATGTTTTATAAAGGGCTTAAAGTCTTCCTCGATAAATGTTGTAACCAACATAAAAGATTTTTCAATTCGAGCTAGTACGTTCTGGAATTAGCGCGTTCGAACAAACAAACGAACTCTTCAGCTTATTGTATAGCAATTATATTAACAATATTCGGTCACTGTGCGTTTTTAAACTATAAAAATATAAATAACAGTTAGGCTACTCTGCTTCTATCAGCTTTAAATTAAATGGGTAGTATTAATATCGAAATTTCGCCCCACAGATTCAAAAGACGTCGAGATATGGCTGGAGTATATCGCTATCCATCTAAATCCCGTCGGTTATAATCCAAACTAAATGAATACACTAAAAATTATTATACTTTGCAGAGTCGTATATCCAAAGCTGCACTTGAGTCAGACGAAAATCTACTAGTGTGTGCCCCGACAGGAGCTGGTAAAACTAACGTCGCGTTACTAACGATTATGAGGGAAGTCGGCAAACACGTTAACGACGACGGTACAGTTAACGTAAATGACTTTAAAGTCATCTATGTTGCGCCCATGCGGTCTTTGGTGCAGGAAATGGTGAGTGAAGATGAGGGTAGTTTTACAAAAGCTCAATGTATGTATCTAAAATAATAGGATGACAGCGTATCAATTAGACGTTATGAGGCTGGGCTTTGAGGCCTATGTTTTTGTCTGTCTTAGTCTGTTATTTAAAGATAGTTTAACCTGTATTAAATTTTATCAAAGGTTTTTTTTTTTAGAGTCAATAGTTATTTAAAAATCAAACTAAGGTCCTAGGTCTAGAAACAATATAGTAACTAAGGTACAATTCGTTTTAATATGGTCTTGTCGCTTTAGTTAGTTTCACTATTAGAGATAGTTTGACCAAAGTCCTGTTAGTCTTGCGATGTCCTGGTGTCTTCTTAATTAAGATTCTACTCTCCATTCTACCAGTTCTTTAACTACCGTCAAACACTTGGTTCTAGGATATGCCATTAGGCATGTATCGGATACTAAGAGTATCTTTGCACAGCCGAGTGCATACAACAAGACAAAAGAACTCCGTCTAATTTCTCGTTTGGTAGAGAAACTTACTACAGCGATAAGACCATATTTAAAACATTTCCTAATTATATGTGTCAGCACCTATCTTTGGTACCAAACACAGTAGGACCTTTAATGATAGATTTGGACATAACCCACCTCCTTCCCATGGTCCTACCGACCTCTCTCGGCGGGCCATACGGACCGGGTCGCGACCGTAACTACGGGAGATGCACCGGGACTGCTCTTGGCCTATAACCGGTGCACTTTCTTGACTCCCTACAAATGCGCTTACGCTGTCCCTGAGGCACATTCTCCTCACCGGTGGGGCTGCCGCCTCGCCGTCGGCGATCTGGCTCTCTCATCCATGCAAATAGCGACCACTCAGCCTCCTTTGCTCCATGCTCGTTTTTTCAATTGTCTTCTCTTCCTGTTTCTTGCCCACAATTTTTTTTTTTTAATTTATTTGTTTGTTGTTTCCTTTTTTTTTTTGTCTCTCTTTCGTCTGTTTTTTTATTTTATTTAATTTTTTTTTTTGAATTCTTCCTTTCTCTTGTACTGACAAAAATATAGTTCTCAAAAGCCCAGCTCCATAACGTCGAATTGATAGGCACTGTCGACCTATTACTGGAACACATTTGGCTCCGCCATTGTGCAACTACCTCAATATATGTGTCAAGACTTTTCTATGGTACCAAACAGTATCTTGGGATTAATTTTCTGTTAGAATCTAATAATTTCAAACTAAAAACGATTTTTAATTTTTATAATGACATGTGAAAAATCTTAATGTTATCATATAATATTTTGTAGGTGGGAAACTTCAGTAAGCGTCTAGCTGCTTACAACATGAAGGTGTCCGAGTTGACGGGAGACCATCAGCTGACCAGGGAACAAATTGACGCCACACAACTGATTGTTTGCACTCCGGAGAAATGGGATATTGTTACGAGGAAAGGTATAGTATTCGTGTGTGATAAAATTATCGTTATATCTATTTATTTGTCCTTTGTTCCTGTTTATTGATTTATAAAAGGTGCAGAGCAGCCAACTTTTGTAAGTCTACTTTGCCACAACGCTCCCACTCTGACCTTATATCACTCTTATTGTAACACCCACTCTCATTCCTACACTCACACCCACCCCTACTCCCACTTCCACTACAAAAACCAAAAAGAAAGCTTCATTGTTCTACCTTTACAATTTCCATATTAACTTTCACCCCCTTTTCAACACCTATAATCCTTTTTTGGCATTAAAAAGTAGCCTATGTACTTTCTCAGGCTCTAATGTCTCTATGTACCAATTTCATTAAAATCGGATTAGTTGTTTCGGCGTTAAAGCCAGACAACAGACAGAGTTACTTTATTTATAATATTAGTATAGATTACACAAATACACACACAATTACGATGACAAAAAAAAAATATCTATAACCTGTGGGGCGGCCTTATTGCTATTAAGCGATCTCTTCCAGCAACCCTGAAAATAAAGTAAAAATAAACTTCCTCGATAAATGCTCTAAACAACACAATTTTTTCCATTTGAAGTCCCAGGCCATTCAAACAAACAAACTTTATAATATTTGTATAGATACAAAAGAATACGTTTTTACAGCTTTAATGTTAAGCTGCTTTCAATAAGATTTTGCCTAGAGGTAGCGCACATACAAAAAATGTTACCAATTTTTAAATTTTTTAAATCTTTCGTTCTACGATTCAGGTGGCGAACGCTCGTTCACGAACCTGGTGCGCCTGATCATTATCGACGAGATCCACCTTCTCCACGACGAGCGTGGCCCGGTGCTGGAGGCGTTGGTGGCGAGGACGCTGCGCACAGTGGAGCAGACACAGGAAGATGTCCGCCTGGTCGGTCTGTCTGCCACGTTGCCAAACTACACGGACGTCGCCGCGTTCTTGCGAGTTAAACCGGAGAATGGCCTCTTCTACTTCGATAATTCGTTCAGGTAAATGAAAATACTTTTTTGATACGGGTTTCTTGGACTTATTGTAGCAACTTATTGCTGATATTTAAATAAAACACTTTAACGGTTTAAAACGCGATAAATTAGTTAAACTTATTTGAAAATGATTTTTAACTTCGGCCCGACGTTTTGGATGCTTTGCAGCAGCCGCGGTCGCGGGGGAACGTCGGGCCGAAGTTAAAGATCATTTTCAAATAAGTTTAACTAATATATCGCGTTTTAAACCGTTAAAGTGTTTTATTTAAATGTGTACTACTCGCGTAAACTATAGACAGTATTTTATTGCTGATAATCAACGGGTTGAACGTTGGATCCCCACCGGGTACAACATTTAAGTCTAATTTATTTATATTTTTCCTGAAACGTGATGGCCTTCTGGAAATCTGGATATTAAACGGTCCGCGTCGCGAACCACAGATGGAAAAGCTGTGAAGTTCAATTGCGTTGCGGCTGTAGTCTTTCGGATCGGATTTTTCAATATTCAAAGCGGCAACCAGCTCTGCTTATCGGGAACTGCGGAATCATCACTAAACGCGATCCTATCATAGCTTCTGGGGCCAAATACTGTAAAAACTATAGTTTCGTTATATAAAACTCTTTTAACTGTTAAAAACGCGAAATATATTAATGTATTCTTTAATGAGTTGCGAAGCTTCGGTCGGGCCGGGCACATAAGTCAGATAAATTACTTGTTTGTAAATAAAGTCAATCGGTGAAATAGACACAGAAATATATCCGCCCCATCTATTAATCGGGGGAAAAACAGTTTTAGATGTATAAATTAACACTGTTTATATGTTTTGTATTTAATGTCTACGCCCGTTTACGCCAGTAGTACACATCGAAATAAAACAATTTTAACGGTTTTAAACTCGAAATATATTCGTTTACTTATTTACAATTTATTTAACTATGGCCCTCTGTTTCGTGTGACGTTATAAACAGTTATTTTAATGTACTACTCGCGTAAACAACAGACTGCTCAATAAGATTAGGTTTAAATTTAATTGCGCAGGAGTTTCAATTATTTCCACCAGTATGGCAGCTATGGCCGTGGGTTCGAGTCCCGCCGGTAGTATTGCAATATGCAGTCTAAAATATATATTTTTTTATTTTGTAGGCCCGTAGCGCTGGAGCAGCAATACATCGGAGTGACAGAGAAGAAAGCACTCAAACGTTTCCAAGTGATGAACGATATCGTCTATGAAAAGGCCATGGAACACGCTGGAAGGAACCAGGTAAAGCCATCACCACATTCTACATCACAGATCATCAGTAGATTTAGGCTTTCGTACATTAAGCTCTTACATTAATCCCAGGGGAACAAAAGTTTGATCAACTGTAAAAAAATGGATCAGTGTAACGGACTCAGAAATGTGTTCGCTCCATGCCCGAAGGGTGAGGGGGGGGGGGGATTTCACTTAGTTAACATTAAGCTCTCAAACTTTAGGATAGAATAGAAATACATTTTTTTCAGAAACAACACACATAAAAAAATAACTCTTTAACGGTTTAAAACGCGAAATATATGAGTTAAAATTATTTTAACTACGATCCAACGGTTCCGCTTTCAAAAGGCCGTGGTCACGGGCAGACTATAGATCGAGGGTGCCTCTGACGTCAAAGTAAAAAACTGCTACTTTAGCGCCATCTGTTTAAATCTGGCGTTAAAATAGATCCGACTAACGGTCCGTCTTCGCGCATCGCAAGTATGACGGAACAGATGGCGCTAGCTTAGCAGTTTTTACTTTGACATTTATCCACTTGTGTCTGTTGTAAAGTAATATCTTTTTTTAGATCCTTGTGTTTGTTCACTCGCGCAAGGAGACGGGCAAAACGGCGCGCGCAATTCGTGACATGTGCCTTGAAAAGGACACTCTTGGCCAGTTTTTGAGGTGAGTTGTTTGTTGGTTAGTCTGACTTAAAAAAAAAATCCCTAAGTTAGCCTAGTACACAACCCTAAGTATAAGGGTCGTTTACTATTCGAGTTGTTTTAATTTTTGGGCAATCTAATTAATGTGGGATAAAATTATTAAGGTGGTGATACCCCCCCCCTTCCTCCAGACAGGCGTCTACCAGTGTTAATAATTTAGTGTTGGGGGGGGGGGTGTCAGATAATAATAAATGTCCTCTATCCTAAATGTATTTCATAGACAATCTGTGTAGAAATAAATATACACATACGTATGCATCAGGGAGGGGGGTGGTGACACTTGCTTACCTTTGGTAACAGAGAGATGTTCTTATGTCGTACGTTCTACTTTATTATATATTTTCCCAGAGAGGGCTCGGCCAGTGTAGAAGTACTCCGAACGGAAGCGGAACAAGTAAAGAATCCCGAACTGCGTGAATTGTTGCCGTACGGTTTCGCCATCCACCACGCCGGTATGAGTCGAGTCGACAGGACCTTGGTGGAGGATCTATTCGCTGATAGGCATATACAGGTTAGTGAATCTATTATATTGATTTTCAAATCTCAAAGACCATTGTGGCTAAACTGAACAGACTCTGGTTACATGAGTCGTATTTTTTCTCACATGGTTTACATTTATTTAACGAACAAAAATTCACGTGAAATCGTGATTTTATCATGTTTGTTGACATCTAATACACCAAAATCGCTGACAAACTTGATGTTTTGACAATGAACATTTGAAGTTTAACATTTACATAAGGATGGGATGTAAGCAATGTCAACGACAATAGAAGGTAGATATCCCGCTCATGCACGATCGCTGAACAACGGTACAAACGTCGAGTTTAATAAAAATTAATAAAAACCTTAACGTTTCGTCTACACAAAAACCTTTTTATTAGAATTTCTCTTATAAAAATGTTGTTTGTAGTTTACGCGAGTAGTACACATCTAATTAAAAAATTTCTAACGGTTTAAAACGCGAAATGTAAAATTTATTAACAAATTAGTTTAGAGTCGTCGAGTTTGTAAATAAATTTTTAATAATATATTTCGCGTTTTAAACGGTTAAAGTGTTTTAATTTAAAGAATGTTTGCATTTTATTGCTGTAGGTGCTAGTCTCGACGGCGACACTGGCGTGGGGTGTGAATCTCCCGGCCCATACGGTTATAGTGAAGGGTACTCAAGTGTACAGCCCGGAGAAAGGAAGGTGGACAGAACTGGGAGCCCTCGATGTCCTGCAGATGTTGGGTCGAGCTGGTCGTCCGCAGTACGATACGAAGGGAGAGGGTGAGTTTTATTCATTTCCATGAAATAAAGCTATTAAATATACTGTTTAATTCTTAATTTTTGGGCAGCGGGTAGGAGGGAAAGGGGGGAACGACCTGTTTGTATTACGGGTATCTCACAATTGACCCCATTGATTAATGATATTACGAATGTCGGTAGCTTAATACTGTAAATTCGTTATTTTTATGTATGATAGGGGAGACGGCAGGGGTTGATAGGGGCTTTCTAGACAAGTGCGCTATCGATTTTGGCTTTGGTTATTCGGAAAACCGCAGTCTCTTTACTTTTCTTTGTTTGCACTATAGCTTTAAACTACCGCCTCTGTGGCTAGATGGTTCAACGTGCGGCATATCAAAAGGTCTTGGTCACCGGGGAAATAATAGATTGTTTTGGTCGGGAAGCTCACAGAAGTCAGATGTAGTACATTAGGGCTTTTTAATATTATCTATCTGTGTACACTTGTCTCTTACTGTAAATACTGTATCTACGTTTACGTCGATTGTACATTTACAAGTAAACATCTAACTGTTTAAAACGCAATATATTAGTTAAACTTCATTTGAAAATGATTTTAAACTTCGGCCGGACGTTTCCATGCTTTCAAAACTGAAACTCATATCGCGTTTAGCGTTTAAATGTGTACTATTCAAATAAAACACTTTAACGGTTTAAAAGGCGATATATTAGTTCGGATGCTTGCAAAGTATCCGAAACGTCGGGCCGAAGTTAATAATCATTTTCAAATAAGTTTAACTAATATTTCGCGTTTTAAACCGTTAAAGTGTTTTGTTTAAATTGTTTCCACTTATAGCTGCTCGTCATATCTGGAGGTCTTATTCAACATCGTTTTGTCAATATGTCTAATACACAATATTTTTTTTTCACGGTAATAAAGGCTCTCCATCTTTGCAGGTATCCTCATAACCAATCACTCGGAACTGCAGTACTATCTGTCGCTGCTCAACCAGCAGCTGCCGATCGAGTCGCAGATGGTCAGCAAGCTGCCGGATATGCTGAACGCTGAAATCGTCCTCGGGTCCGTGCAGAACATTCGTGATGCTGTCACTTGGCTTGGTGAGTTCTGTGGTACTTGGGCTGGCATGCCAAGTGGACATCTATACTAATATTATAAAGCTGAAGAGATTCTTCTTTGTTGGGGTATTTAACGAGGAAGGCTTTAGGTATAAGACATCACGCTGCGCACCATCAGATAACAGGATCGAAGAATATGAGGAAAAGGCCGGGGAATATTATTCGTCTTAGCCATCAATGATGAATCTTCTAATATATAAAATTCTCGTGTCACAGTTTTCGTTGCCGTCCTCCTCCGAAACGGCTTGACCGATTTTGATGAATTTTTTTGTGCTTATCCGGTATCTTTGAGAATCGGCCCACATCTATTTTTCATCCGCCCGAATGTTAGGGGTAGTCCACCCCTAAATTTTATTTTTTAGACAACATTTTTAATTTCTATTTTTTTATGATACAACATACAAAAATACACACAATCCTCAATTTTCACCCTTCTACGATCAACCCTTATTTTTTAATAGCCATATTAGTAAAATTATTTATATGGCAAAACAACGTTTGCCGGATCAGCTAGTCATTTTGTAGATTTGGTTATAGATGTGTTCTATATTCAAACGTAAAATAATTTTTCAATTCGAACCAATCATTTCTGAGGTGACCGCGTTCAAACAAACAAACTCTTCAGATTTACAATGAGTTAAATCTATAATTTAACACATTTATTTTTCGCTATACAATATCAGTTCGGAACAGCTAACAGTGGAGTGTATTTTTTAATATTGAATTATAGGCTACACCTACTTATACATTCGGATGCTGCGACAGCCAGCTCTGTACGGCATCCAGGCGGAGAAGATGAAGGATGACAACCTTCTTGAGCTGCATCGAGCTGATCTGATCCACACAGCTGCGGCCTTGTTGGATAAGTGAGTTTTTATTCTGTTTAATACAAGAAAGGTAAAAAAGAGACGATCAAGTCAAGCTAGTTTATTAAGTAAAAATATGGATTGTAAATAAATCATTTTAACGGTTTAAAACGCGATATATTTTAGTTAAACTTGTTGGAGAGTGGAGACGTCTGCCCGTGACCACGGCTGCTGCAAAGCTAATTTTCAAACAAGTTTAACTAAAACATGTCGCGTTTTAAACCGTTAAAGTGCTTTATTTAAATGTGTACTACTCGAGTAAACTACAGACAGTATATAACATGAATTGTCAGTAACTTATGCAAATAATAAATTATAAATAAATCACTGTCTAACTGTTTAAAACGAATAATATAATTCCATTCAAATTTAATTTCATACTTCGACAACTTTGTGTTCTCGGTCACAAAGGGGACTATCACCTAAAGGGGTTACTAGCAGGGGAAGAAGCTAGTGTTAGTAAAGTGAAATCCGGCGATACAGATGGCGCCAGCGTAGCAGATTTTACTTTAACATTAGGGACACCCACTATACATTTTTAACTTATAGTTATCTCAGACAAGAAAGGAGCACTTTCCTTTCCCCATGTGGGGCATAGGGCGTCCTAGACGAAGCTTTAAAAACATCACCTTCCAGAGCGGGTCTGATCAAGTATGAACGTAAATCCGGCCACTTTCCAACCGACCGAGCTGGGCCGCATCGCGTCCCACTTCTACTGCACCTACGAGACGATGCAGAACTACAACCAGCTGCTGAAGCCGACCCTCGGCGAGATCGAGCTGTTCCGCGTCTTCTCGCTCTCCGCTGAGTTCAAGCACATCAATGTGCGTGACGAAGAGAAGCTGGAATTGCACAAGCTAATGGAGAGGGTGAGTTTTTTCCTAGACTGTCCAGGCCGACTTAGCTAAATTCCGGCATATGCATTGAGCTATTTAAATGAAACCGTTTTTAACAGTTTGAAGTGTGAAATATATTATTTATTAGTAGTTAAATTTACAGAGGGACTTGTGACAACGGGTACTGCAAAGTATCAAAAACTTCGCACATTTTAAAAATGAGTTAACTAGTATATTTCGAGATTTAATCCGTTAAAAGTGTTTTATTTAAAATATTTTTATTGTTATTTGATCTCTATAGTATATTTAGTATAGGGTTTGAGTAGTGGGCCCCGTTTTTAAGGAAAAATAAAAAATAAAATCTATTATATTCGCTGCCATTTTTTTTTACTTATACTTTTCAACTCACGCGCAATGTAATTTCAACCTTAATACTTACGCTTTGAGGTTCATTATATTATGCTTTGCAGCCTAAGAAATAATTTAAGATGAAAACATAGAGATTAACGTTTAACCACTTTATTATTCACACTATTATTGCAAATGATGACTTTATATAAATTAAAATCTAAAAAATAAACGAACTGGACTTGACCGCCATCCACAGCGTTCCGTGCTGGTCTAACCGATTGAGCTACCACGTCACCTTCATGTTTTCATATTTTCAGGTGCCCATCCCGATTAAGGAGAGTATAGAAGAGCCATCAGCGAAGATCAACGTGCTGCTCCAAGCGTACATATCGCAATTGAAGCTCGAAGGCTTTGCCCTAATGGCTGATATGGTGTACGTCACTCAGTCGGCGTGTCGATTACTGAGAGCCATATTTGAGATAGTTTTGCATAGAGGTAAGAAATGAAAGCTGGGCATTTCCTTATAAGAGGAATTTTGAGCAGCAGCGCTAGCCAAAGCCAAATACGGCGCATGCGCATCTTGTTCATTCTCTTGTTTCTTATGTTTCTAAGGGGTGGTTGGTCCGGTCACGAACCACTGTCTACATGAAAATATCATTAAAAGTAATCGCTTTCGATTTCAGCATGTAATTTAAATTAACCAAAGCCAAAATTGGATTTTCACTGTTGGATCTTGTTTAGATGTTATACGGCTACGGTATTTCACCTCTCATCTAGTGAAACTTACGCTTACCTGTCCTCTATTTTAGATTTAGATGTTTTTTGTCTGTCTGTTTGTAAACAGGCTTTCAGGCGTTGCCATGTGCAAATACTCGATTATTACCAGTAAATATGAAAATTTAAACAAAAATAAACATTTAAATAAAACACTTTAACGGTTTAAAACGCGATATATTAGTTAAACTTCGGAGGCTTTGAAATTGATTCGGTGACCACCGTGACCACGGCTGCTGCAAAGCATCCGAAACGTCGGGCCGAAGTTAAAAATCATTTTCAAATAAGTTTAACTAATATATCGCGTTTTAAACCGTTAAAGTGTTTTATTTAAATGTGTACTACTCGCGTAAACTATAGACAGTATCTAAAAATAAATATTAAAAGGTCACTTGGTAACTTAAAACAACAAAATGATATAGGGTCATTGATCTATTAACATATATGTATCAGATTAGACTTTTTGTCTTTTTTTACAACCGGTGTTTTTTTTAAAATATAAAACTTGTTATTCCTTATTGGTCTTAGATGTATGAATACCATAATAAATTTATATTAGTACCTAAGACCTTGTTCTTATATGTGTTCATTTATAAATAAAACACTTTAACAGTTTAAATCGCGATATATAGCCATAATCACGGGGAGACCACCTGCTGCAAGACATCCGACGCGTCGGGTCTTAGTTAAAAATAATTTTCAAATAGGTTTAACGAACTTATATCGCGTTTTAAACCGTTAGTTTTTACTCTCTCGCGTAAACTACAGACAGTACTTGATTTCATATATTATTTATTTATCTTCAGGTTGGGCCCAGCTGGTGGATAAAACGCTCGCGCTATGCAAAATGGTGGATCGACGCATGTGGCAGTCAATGTCGCCGCTAAGGCAATTCAGAAAGATGCCGGAAGAGGTAAGACAATAACATTGTTGAAAATTTTGGATTGAATATATATTTCAAAATTTAAACATACACGCAGACAGTACAGACACAAATAGTATTTAATTTGAAAATTATTAGTTTTGTAATTGATTCCTTTAAAGCGCAGGCGGAATTCGAACCCAAGACAAACGGGGTAACCATTATGATCTACTAAGAAGTGTTAGATAGCTTATTTCTTAGCAGATAGATTGAAAAAGTTAAGTCTACCCTAAGTCTTAGTTGTAAGTTTGTTTATTGTTTTTTTAATAAAAAGCGGTGAGGTTATCGAACCCACTAACGCAGCGTTTAATGTTGTTTTATTGAGCTACTATGTCTCGTTCGGTATCATCGAATCTTTTCATGCACATATACCGACTTGTTTCTCAGGTGGTAAAGAAGCTGGAGAAGAAGAACTTCCCCTGGGAGAAACTGTACGAACTGGGACCGAACGAGATCGGTGAACTCGTTCGCGCTCCGAAGCTCGGCAAGATGATACACAAATACGTCCATCAGTTCCCCAAGTTGGAACTGTCCACTCACATACAACCCATCACCAGATCGACTTTGAGGGTAGAATTGACTATTACACCAGATTTTCAATGGGATGCAAAGGTAACATAAGTCTTTCTGATAGAGGAGGATAGACGAGGATAGACGATAATGGAGTTCACTTGACGGTAGGTGAAATGCCCCAGCCTATAGCATCTAAACCAGATGCGTTGTCGACCTTTTTTGGCTTTGTATAATAATAATAAAATATTTTTCTCCACAAAAAAATAAAATACAAATATAGTAATACTAAATTAATTATTTAAATTCAGGTGTTAGTGCAATGGCGGCCTTATCGCCTATTGCGAGTATTTCAGGCAACCTTGAGTATTCGGAAATTTACACGTGTTTGATGAAGTTCAACGTGTTTTAGAAATTTATAAATAGATTAGAAGCATGTTGTCCTCGGTAGGCATCGAATCCACTACCCGTAAAAATTAGCCATACATTGCTCCCATCAAACCAACGATCCCATCGTCAACTTAATGGAAGGCGCAAATAACCCAGCCTTTAGCTTCTAAAACAATGTGCTATCGACCTATTTTCTCTTTACGGACGTCCATAGATTGAAGTTTTACATATCAGAGCTTATTTTATCTGTGGACGTTAGTCGATAAAATAAGATTATAGTCTATACCTGTATTTAAATTAAAATAATATTCAGAAAATTTTAAGATTCTTTGTCTTAAACCTCACTACGTCTCACCAATGGGGAGGGGGAGGGGGGGTTAAAAAATTCAAACAAAAAGATCACGTGATTAATGGACAACCCCATAGCATATTTAACTTTGGTGTTTAAAACGGGTAATTTTTATCATTTTGCTTTAGATTCACGGACAATCCGAGGCGTTCTGGATCCTCGTGGAAGATGTGGACTCGGAGGTGATACTCCACCACGAGTTCTTCCTCCTCAAGGAGAAGTATTGTCGTGATGAGCACCATGTCAAGTTGTTCGTGCCGGTGTTTGAACCACTGCCGCCACAGTACTTCTTAAGGGTAGTATCAGACAGGTAAGTTACGCATACGTGGTACGTATAGTAAACTGGTTTTAAATGCGAAATATCAGTTAACTTATGACCCGATATTTCCAAAATTATTCACCTTATAAGTATTGTCTATAGTTAACGCGAGAAGTACATATATATATTTAAATATTGACCTTACGTCAAAATTAAAAATATGTTGTTGAGTATATTGTATATTTCGCGTTTTAAACCGTTTCAGTTAATTTGCAGCTTTTTTGCCTTTATAGTACTGATATCCCGTTTCCCCTTTTCGGCAGGGGCGAACATACAAGGTTACTTCCTTATATTTTATATCTCAGCAATGTTGTTTAAATTTTTAAATTCGAGGTATGCACTTGTTTAAGCTTTTATTATGTATTTAGTCGTCTTCGAAATAAATAAACACATTTGTGTGTTCGGTTTTATTTACAAGTTCACACTTCTGTTCCCTGCTCGACCGCAACGATCTATTGTTTCCCGGGGCTAAAACCCAGGACCTCTCTTCACGCAACGCCTTTAACGATTTCGCTACTGAGGCGGTCATTTATATATTTTTATCTTTATATTGATTCACATACATTTTATTTATTTCAGATGGATAGCAGCCGAAACTCAACTACCCGTGTCCTTCCGGCATCTCATTCTCCCGGAAAAGAACCTGCCACCCACCGAACTGCTAGACCTGCAGCCGTTGCCTATATCTGCTTTGAGAAACGGGAAATATGAAGAGTTGTATTCGGAGACCTTCGATCAATTCAATCCGGTTCAAACACAGGTAACTGACAATAAAACTCCAAGCCTAAACGAGAGATGGCGCTAGCGTAGCGGATTTGACTTTGACATAAGGGGCGCCCTCCATATTAATGTCTTCCCGTGACCATGGATGATTCAAAGCTCCCGAAACGTCGGGTCGTAGTTACAATTTGTAAAACAGGTGTAACTTATGTATTTCGCGTTTTAAACCGTTTAACGTGTACAACTCGCGTAAACTACAGATGATATTCGGTATAATCTCGTAACAGATAAATACCAAATTTATAAACATCTCGTGTCACAATGTTATTTGCCGTCCTTCTTCGAAAGGGCTCGACCGATTTTGCGACTTAAGTTGAAATATTTATTCATATTTTAACAATATCGAATTATATCGTGTATTTATGCACGAAATAATTTATATGGCGACACAACGTTTGCCGAATCAGCTAATATTTTTACAAATACTGTTTGTAATTTACGCGAGTAGTACACAATTTAAATAAAAAAATTAACGGTTTAAAACGCGAAATATATTATTTAAACTTATTTGAAAATTACTTTGGTGTAACTAAGAAACTTCGAGTTTTAAACCGTTAAAGTGTAAGCGAGTAGTAGACGTTTGAGTAAAACGCTTTAACGTTTAAAACCAAATTTTTAGTTACACTTACTTGAAAATTATTTTAACTAGGGTTCGGATGTCTTGAAGCAGTCGCGCTCACGGCGAGACTAAACAGAGGGTGTCTATGTCTCCAAATATTTTGGGACACGTTGCATATCGCGTTTTAAACCGTTAAAGTGTTTTATTTAAAAGTGTACCAATCGCGTAAACTACAGACACCCTTTTTATCTGTTGTATGCAGGTGTTCAACGCAGTATATAATTCGGATGACAACGTGTTCGTGGGCGCTCCAGGTGGCTCTGGCAAGTCTGTGATCGCCGAGCTGGCGCTACTCCGCCTGCTCTCCACTAATCCAGCTGGCAGAGCTGTTTATCTTCTACCAAGGTATCATCAAAACGACATACATCACACACTACACTAAATCCAATGCCCAAATAGTCGATACCGTCTTCGTACTCGAGAATCGTATGTTGGCTTAATCCCTTTTTGTACGTCGATCGCGTACCTTCCCGTCGTTCTTGCAAGTTGATCTTAAAATATAGAGATATAACGTCGCTGACTTTTTTTTTAGTTCATTTAAAGAGGAATCATTCTTTCGTACATATTTTTGGGGTATCATGAACATAATCCCTACTAATATTATAAATGCGAAAGTAACTCTGTCTGCCTGCCTGTCTGTCTGTCTGTTACTCTTTCACGCCAAAACTACTGACTGAGCGGATTTGAATGAAATTTGGTACACAGATGGTCTAGACACTGAGAAAGAACATAGGCTACTTTTTATTGCGAAAAGGGGGTTAAAAGGGGGGGGGGGTGAAAGTTTGTATGGAAATTTTGTTGTTTTTGAAGCTAGAACAATAAAACTTTCTTCTTTGGCTTTTTGGGAATGGGAGTGGGAGTGGGAGTGATGTGAGGTGACAGTGTTGCGGCAAAGCACTTACATCATAGGGTGGCTACGATAAATGCGCAATTACATCAATTAATAAACAGCCTAAATAATTAAAAATTCTACCCCAAGTCACTATTCCACGCGAACGAAGTCGCGGGCACAGCTAGTGATGAATAATCACTTTCACATTTTCCACTGTTCCTTCGCACCCACGGGTCGCAGCTCGAAATTCTAATAGCATAAACCCTTCCTCGATAAATGGTCCAACCAACACAAAAATTTCATTTAGAACCATTAATTCCTGAGATTAGCGTGTTCAAACAAACTCAGCTTCAGCTTTATATTAGTGTAGATTAAAAAAAAATTGTTTGTTGCAGGGACGCGCTCGCTGACATTGTTTTCGCCGATTGGTATCATAAGTTCGCCTCAAAATTCAATTTAAAGGTATTTTAATTTAAGTGGTCTAATTTTTTTGGAAGGTCTGGCCTAATGTACTTTTGCTAGCTTTAAAGTTTGACAATAGACGCCATTTAAACAAAACACTTCTAACCGTTTAAAAAGCGAAATCTATAAACTTATTTACAAATAATTCTAACTAAGGCCAGACGTTTCGGATGGTTTACGGCGACCGTGGTCACAGAGACTTTTATTTCCATATTTGAACAATATTTATAACACCTTTGACTGTTTAAAACGGCGAAATATTTTTGTTAAATTTGCAGCAGTCGCGGTTGCTAATGCTGCAAAAAGAAGCATCTGAAACGGGCCGTAATTAAAATTCTTTAAAAATAACTTTACTAATATATTGCGATTCAAACCGTTAAAAGTGTTTTATTTAAATGTACTCGAACACTATAGCTTATTTATAGTTACGTAACTGTCGATGTACAATATATATAAAAATACGGGTGGGGTTAGATTTCCGTTCGTGTCATTGTTTTTATTTGATTTGTTTATTTGTTTTTGTAGGTAGTACAACTGACAGGTGAGACAGCAACAGACCACAAGCTTCTGAACAAAGGACAGATTATCATCACCACAGCCGATAAATGGGATGTGCTATCCAGGAGGTGAGATTTTCGTATAATACTGTCTATAGTTTACGCGAGTAGTACACATTTAAATAAAACACTTTAACGGTTTAAAACGCGACATATTAGTTAAACTTGACTGTTTAAGACTGTCAGACAGTCTCCCGTGACCACGGCTGCTGCTAAGCATCCGAAACGTCGGGCCTTAGTTAAAAATTATTTTCAAATAAGTTTAACTAATATGTCGCGTTTTAAACCGTTAAAGTGTTTTATTTAAAAAATATATTTGCATCTAAGTGGTTCACTCGACTGTGGGTCCTGTGTTCAATGTTAGATGGGAAAGCGTTTTGATTGAACAATTTTTTTTTTTACTGTGATGATTTGTGTAATGGTAGTAAGGTACGGCTAACAATTAACGGGCCTTGGGTTCATCCCGATCTCCACCGGGTCCAACATTTTTATAAACAATTTATAATTTTCCAGTAACACGTTGGGTCTTCTGGAAATCTGGATATTAAATAAGTGGTAGGACTGTCGAAATTCCGTCCGGGTCACGAACGACCGTCCACAGATGAAAAAGTCCTAATTTTAATCTCAAAGGTCTTAATTAAATGTTAAATAGTCTTAATAATAAGATTTCCGAATATCCAACGCCAAAGTAGTCGGCAGCGCATATTGTTTAGATGCTTGGGTATTTGACCAATCAAGTGAATCCTTTTAAATAAAACACTTTAACGGTTTAAAACGCGATATATTAGTTAAACTTATTTGAAAATGATTTTTAACTTCGGCCCGACGTTTCGGATGCTTTGCAGCAGCCGTGGTCACGGTGGTAATCATTTTCAAATAAGTTTAACTAATATATCGCGTTTTAAACCGTTAAAGTGTTTTATTTAAATGTGTACTACTCGCGTAAACTATAGACAGTATCAAGTGAATCCTGTCCTCTATAATAAAAAAAACATACCAAAAAACTGATTATCAGCAGAGCCATGCTGTTAGCCACGCCCACATTTGCTCCCACCATAGTTACCTTATGGTCTTGTCTACAGATGGAAAGTGCGGAAATCGGTTCAAAGTGTGTCGTTGCTGATAGTGGACGCGCTACAACTTCTGGGAGGTGAAGAGGGGCCGGTCATGGAGGTGGTGTGCTCCAGGATGAGATATATAGCGTCGCAGATAGGTAAGCACGAATACGAATTTCTCTTTTTAAATAAAACGGTTTAAAACGCTAAATGTATTCCCCGTCATCGCGGTTGCAAAGCGTCCGCAACTATGGACCGTAGTCCAAATTGAATACATTGCGTTTTAAACCGTTAAGTGTGTTATTTAAATAACTCCACGTTTTTCCAATTTTTCAACAGCTGACTCATAATGTAATTAAAGAATATTTATGTTCTCGACCGGGCATCGAACTACCGACGTTAAAATCGTAAATCCTAGACGCGCCTCTCGTTCAAAGTTAATGGGCATTTGTATGTATGTTCATAGGCCGCGGCATTCGAATTGTCGCGTTATCGCTGCCGTTGGCTGACGCCCGCGACGTGGCGCAGTGGCTCGGCTGCAACGCCAACGCAACGTTCAACTTCCATCCCAGCGTTCGTCCGCTACCGCTGGAGTTACATATACAGGTATGTTGTATAAATTTTATCTTTCCAGCTGTTAATTGCCTTTTTCATGATCCTTTCTAGCACCACCTACCTATAGTCCTTTTATTTTATTTTTTGTTTTTCCCTTCACTTCAGGTTGCCTGGAAGAGATCGCTGTTTAGCGATAAGGCCGCCTTTTAGTTATAACCTAGTACATAAGAATGTATTGTTGTAAACCATTTCTGTGGTGTTTGTAATTAATAAAGTTAATAAATAAATAATAAATATGTTCGATCTCCACCGGGTCCAAGATATTTCTAAACAATTTATAATTTTTCTGAAACATGTTGAACTTCATTCCTACTATTCCTGAAAAATATATTCCTCCTATCGTCGATAAATGGAAGAGGTGTTTTGCGATTGAAGCCGTTAAAATTGTTTTGTTTTAAGTATTAACAGTACTTTTTAAACTTAAACTACGACTAGCTTAACGGAACATGTTAACTAGTACATGTTCTCGTTTTGAACCGTCAAAATTGTTTTATTCGAGTGTAAAAGGTAATGCTCATCAAAATCTCAAACAACCGTAATCACATTTTTCCGCTGCTGCAATGCTATCAACGTATGTTTGTGTTTAGAAAGTTAACTTATAAATTTCGTGTTTTAAACCGTCATTTTTGCTAAACAGACTATATTTAAATTACATAATATATTTTCGCAGGGTTTCAACATATCACACGCGCCCTCTCGCCTAGCAGCAATGACCAAACCGATATACAACAGCATACTTCGCTACGCGGGCACCAAACCCACCGTCGTCTTCGTGCCCTCGAGGCGTCACTCGCGGCTCTTGGCTGCTGATCTGCTGGCGCTCGCTGCTGCTGCGGGCAGGCCAGCGCGGTTTTTGCACGCCAGACCGGATCTGGTTCAGCCGTTCTTGACTAAAATACACGATAAGGTAAGAGGCTAAGCTATGTATAGTGTATTTTTTCTAACTTGGCAAATGACCACAACTAATAAGCCCTTTTATAAAGTGAAGTTGTTGCCACAGATGACACAGGGATAAACGTGGATTAAATTATGATTGATTATTAATATCAAAAGACAAAATAGGACGACAGCCCATATTGTTTAGATGCTATATGGCTGGCGTGGTGCTTCTACCATCAAGTCAAACCAAAGCCTCTGTATCCTCCTCTAATAAATTAATTTGATTGCTATATTGAAATAAAACACTAACGGTGTAAAACGCGATAAATATTAGTTATACTTATTGGAAAGTTATCCCCCGTGACCACGGCTGATGCGAAGCATCCGAAACGTCGGGCCGTAGTTAAAAATTATTTTCAAACAAGTTTAACTAATATATATCGCGTTTTAAACCGTTTAAGTGTTTTATTTAAATGTGTACTACTCGGGTGAACTACAGACAATATTTGCTGCATATGAAAAAATTTCCTTAACAGATGCTGAAAGAAACCGTCTCCGCTGGTGTGGCGTATCTGCACGAAGGTGTCGAAAACAACGATCGACGCGTCGTGCAGCAACTAGTCGAGTGCGGAGCGATACAAGTGTGCGTTGTTGCTGCGGAGCTGGCGTTTGCGTTCGCTGCTCACTCGCACACTGTCATCGTTGCGGACACACATGTGTGAGTATTGCGAGGGAGGTAGTTAGAAAAAGTCGGGTGTGCGAGAGAGACAAATCTATTTATGTTAGATAAATGTATTCGGACCCACGTTTGAGTATTGCGAGGGAGGTAGAGAGAAAAAGTTTGACCCACATTTGAGGTTTGCGAGGAAGGTAGATAGACAAAGTTTGACCCACGTTTGAGTATTGCAGGAAAAAGTTTGACCCACATTTGAGGTTGCGAGGAAGTAGATAGACAAAGTTTGACCCACGTTTGAGTATTGCGAGGGAGGTAGATAGAACAAGTTTGACCCACGTTTGAGTATTGTGAGCTTGTGTATGTAGAGTAGAAGTGTGAGATAATTCAAGAAATTGCAAGCGACTAAATAAGTAAAGCCTATCATTGCGTTAAGCGCAAGAGGTCCTGGGTTCGAATCCCGGGGAAAAATTATCAACTACTTGCCTGTAAAAAAAACCAATCAGTGAAACGCACACAGTAATGTACACGGGGGGAAACGGGCAACTTTTTATGCATGATACTTGTAACTAGCTTCCGTCTATTCAGTTTACGCGAGTAGTACACATTTAAATAAAACACTTTAACGGTTTAACTAATATATCGCGTTTTAAACCGTTAAAGTGTTTTATTTAGCTTTCGTCTGTTAAAAACTTTAAACCTCACTCTTCGTATTTTCTTAGTTACAACGGCAAACTCCACTGCTACGAACAGTACCCGATCACGACGATCCTGCAGATGTTAGGGCGCGCGTGTCGCCCCCTCGAGGATGACCACTCCGTCGCAGTGCTCATGTGCGCCGCCCACCACAAGAGCTTCTTCACTAAGCTGCTCAATGACTGTCTTCCGCTAGAGGTAAGTGCATGGGCACTATAGTTAACTTCAACGGTTTAAAACACGAATTATATTAATCGTACCGTAATAACGTCTTATCACATATACATCTTCGCTTTTCTGTATAATAAAAACATTACAATACCAGTAAGGAAAAGATGATTTTGAACGAAGTCAGCATTGTCAATAGTTACGCGAGTAAGTAAAATCGGAAATAAAACGCCTTTAACGGTTTTAAGTCCCCGGGGCGCCCATGACTACGGCTGCTGCGAGGCATCCCAAACGTCGGGCCCTAGTTAAAACATATAAATAGTTCTTATTTCTTAATTAAATTACTATTTTTGTTGCGTTTTAAACCGTTAAAAGTGGTTTCATAAAATGTGTTCCATCAGCGTAAACAACGGACAATATTTAGTTAACGTTATTTGAATTGTGCCTGACTGATAATTGACGTTTCCTCGCAGAGTCACCTGGACCACAGACTGCACGACCACATCAACGCGGAAATAGTGACGAAGACCATAGAAAACAAACAAGATGCCGTGGACTACCTGACGTGGACCTTCCTCTACCGAAGACTCACCCAGAACCCCAACTACTATAACCTCCAGGGCGTCACACATAGGTATTCAAACATAAAGTATAGTCTGTAGTTGGAAAAAATTATAAGATTCTGCAAGTAAACCGGAAGGTTTGAAGGGGAAACGGGGAGAGTTGGATGACCCAAAACCTCTGCAAGGGGGAAATGGGTGAAATGGTCCGCGGGTAACGTGGACCGATCACCCGTCCTGCCAAGGGTGTCCCCGATAGAAAATAATAATAATAGTCTGTCGTTTACGCAAGTAGTACACATGTAAATAAAAAAAAGTTGTAACCGTTTAAAAAGCGAAATGTAGTAGTTAACTTAGTCCAAATTCATTTAAAGTATGTTAAAAATAGGTTATAATATATTTCGCGTTTTGAACCGTTTATACTGATTTAAAAGGACCTATGAGGAGGACAGACGCAGGGATCACTTGATAAGAGCTGAAAAACCCCCCCCTTTCGCAATTCGCTGACGATTTAGGCGTTGATTCGAATGAGACGAAGTCCAACATGTATCAGATGAGTTATAAATTGGACAATTAGAAACACGTTGGGTCTGGTGGCGATCGAACCCACGTACCGTTGATAATTAGGCATACATAGATACCAACGAGCCAAGAAGAAGTTTCCTCACCTAAAAACAGCTTGCGTGACAAAGCTTTTATTGCTGTCCTTGTCCCTCGTACACTAGATAGAAAGAGACGGAACTATTCCTTGGACATATGTCAATGAAGTTCAACATTCTAGGCATCTATCAGACCATCTCTCCGAGTTAGTTGAAACTACCCTCAATGATCTCGAACAGTCGAAGTGCATCGCCATTGAAGACGAGATGGACGTTCAGCCGCTCAATTTGGGAATGATTGCGTCTTATTACTACATCAACTATACAACGATCGGTGAGTACTAAACTGTTACTTTTTTTACTGTCATCATCCGTTTTGCTGAAAAAATCAAAAAGGCCATAAAAAATAAATAAATATATAAGTCGTTAATCGGGCAAATTTTTCAAAGGGCAATGGCAACGTTTTGTGTCAACGGCATTTTCCTCGAGAATCGTTTTAAGAATTTTATTGCGCGTTTTCAAACCCCTTCATCTTCATAAACTTCGGATTTTTCAATTAGAATCTGTAGTTCCTGAGATTAGCGCGTTCAAACATACAAACAAACAGCTTTATATATTAGTATAGATTGGTAAAACAAAAATGTTTTATTAACTACAACTGTAGTGCACATTTTAAGAACATTGTCTCCTTCTTACATTCTCTTGTAATATGCCAATCTTTCCCATTTTCTCCTGCCAGGAAGAACATAAACTCGTCGTCTCTTATTTTTACAACTCTTGTAATCTTACAGTCTCCCCGTGACGACGGCAAAGCATCCGTAACGTCGGGCCGTAGTTAAAACATTTTTCAACTAAGTTTAACTAATATATATCGCGTATATTTTATACCGTTAAAGTGATTTCTTAAAATCGTATAATTCCTCTTTACAACTCGCTTTAATTGTGAAATTACAGAATTGTTCAGTCTGTCTCTAACGTCGAAGACCAAGATTCGTGGTCTCCTCGAGATCATCTCTTCAGCTGCTGAATACTCCGAGCTCTGCATCAGACACCGCGAAGAGAACATCATCAAAGCATTATCTGCCAAGTGAGGAAACCATTTTCTTATTTACTTTTTTATAATCTTGATCTGTTATCTCTATGTTAGACTCTGGAAATCTAGATATTACATAGGTAGTATAGTGTATTTTTTCTTACTTGGCATTTTTACAAAAGGATGGGATGTAAGCAATGTCAACGACAATAGAAGGTCGAGTGCAAAATGACATCACTAGTTATCTATGGTTTGAATTCGGCCATATATACAATATTAACGACAGTACATCTTGATGAGATATTATAATATGGCTGGGGTCCTCCTCATACCTCATAAAAAATATCTCATAAAAAACATTATGTACAACATATATGCTATATTTCTTGCACCTAAGCTTACAAATTTAATTAAATATCGCCCTATCCTTTCAAAAAAACCTTCCACTTCCTACCCTCATTGTTAAGTTTTGTAAGTTATTGAAAAAAAAAATTACAGAGTTCCACATAAGCCGACTAGTTCCGGTGGCGGCACAGTCAAATACAACGAGCCGCAAGTGAAAGCGCACGTTCTGTTGCAAGCTCACCTCTCGAGAATGCAACTACCCGCAGAATTGCAAGCGGACACCGCCATTGTCATTACCAAGGTGGGTATTTTAAAATAACAATTATGACGTCATACAAATTGTAGAAGGTTTAATGACATTACTTGAGAACACTATAAAATAAGCCATAAATAACTTAGATATCGTAGTTCAAGAAGTTGTTTGACTTATATTTTACGTGAAGCATCCACAACGTGGTAAGTGGAATCCCGTTGCCCCAACTTGGGGCATGGGGCTAACATATTTCGTAAGTAGTTGATCAGACTTCTGACCCAAATACAAAACATTGTATTGTTTTCTCGGGAATCGAACCTAGAGCTCTTGCGCTTAACGCTATGCTAGTTTTGAAGCAAGTATTTACGTTATACCCGTTCGGACCCAGGACCACATGAAGGCAACTCGTTGGAACATTGAACTACATACCGGGGCTGCTCATATAGTAAATATATCACCTCCCTACAACCCCCCCACCTCGATTTTTAGACCCCAAATAATAAATTTAATTTTTATTTAATTTAATCGGTTTCAACGTGTTAAATAGTGGTTTTATTTATCCAATCTTTTTCCAGGCCATTCGTCTAATCCAGGCGTGTGTCGACGTGGTGTCCAGCAGTGGTTGGTTGTCCCCAGCAGTAGCAGCCATGGAGCTAGCTCAAATGGTCACGCAAGCGATGTGGGCTAAAGACTCGTACCTACGTCAACTTCCACACTTTACACCAGCCCTGGTGCAGCGGTGTTCAGAGAAGGTAAGAATAAGAAAGAAGAATCCAAATACAGTAAAACTCTGTCTGTAGTACACGTTTAAATAAAAACACTTTAACGGTTTAAAACGTGATAATTTTTTAGATAGTTGTATTAGTTAAACTACTACTCTAAACAAAATGTTTTGTAAATAAAACCAATATGTTCAGTTAGCGGTCCACCTTAGTCCAAGAACCAGTTGGGGTGGGCGCACAAGGTTCCCTTCCCCCTTCCCCGGACCCGCCGATGCGCTGGACAAAGTACATAATCCGTGATGTTAAGATTCCATAATTTTCTAAATTACAGAGCGTCGAGACTGTCTTCGATGTGATGGAGTTGGAAGACAACGCGCGCGCGAAGTTACTCCAGCTGTCGTCCAGCGAGATGGCCGATGTAGCGAGATTCTGCAATAGATATCCCAACGTTGAATTGAACTATGAGGTAAGTGATATTTGGACAGATTTTGATACAATTATTCAAAGTAAAAAAGGAAATAATTGAGCGTTTTTTCTTAGAACAATTTGTAGGGGACATCGTCATCCCTATGTCCTCTACAAACTGTATTTTAGACTCTGGGACATCTAAATATTACATGGCTAGTATAGTGTATTTTTACTTACTTGGCATTTTTTGGTAAACAAACGCGCAATTTACATGATATTGTGATTCTCACAAGGTTCACAGTAAAAACCGTTTTTTCGTTCTAAAATAAATAAAAATTATAAAAATCATTTTATGCAGATGCACATATTAAAATTTCTCTACTTTGTCTTTTACATAAGGAGACGTGAGACTCAGCACGATCACTTAACAACGTTACAAACGTCTCGATAACAATATGACTTTAATAAAATTAAAAAAGGTCGTCATAAGTGATTTTGAATATTTAGGTCATTTGGTTCATATATCTATACTAATATATAAAGCTGAAGAGTTTGTTTGTTTGAACGCACTAATCTCGGGAACTACGGGTTCGAATGGACAATTTATTTTTGTGTTGGTTACAGCATTTATCGAGGCTTTTGGCTATAATATATAATATCGCGAACAAAAACGTCCACGATGTCTACCTTTTAAGACTAACTTGCAAGAATAGTTGATGTCGTGGCTAATAGCTTAAGTTTATAAAAATGACGGGGTTTGCAAAAACGAATTTGGACGCCCAAAATAACGATTCTCGCGGACGAAGTCGCTGGCACAGCTGGTAATGGATATTTCTTTTATCCCTGAGGCATCTGTGGCAATAACTTGACTCTATAAGAGGACATCACTATTTCTCTATGGTTTGATGTCGGCCATATTTGTTGTGGTCTTTTGCCAAGTTAGAAAAAATACACTTTAGGTAGACTTATTTGATGATAGAAAGTACTTGTTAAGACCTGGTGTTTGGTTTGTATGTAGCATTATTTAAATAAAACACTTTAACGGTTTAAAACGCGATATATTAGTTAAACTTATTTGAAAATGATTTTTAACTTCGGCCCGACGTTTCGGATGCTTTGCAGCAGCCGTGGCACGGGGAGAAGATGTAGCATTATTGTAAATGCATTTTTAATGAGGCTATTTTTGGCAAAATTACTTCCCAATCTCCCCTCTTGAAATAAGTGTAACTATAGTTTCTAATATTTTTGAATTACATGAACATATTGAGTGAAATTTCACGGTATTATTTCCTTTAGATTATGAAGTAATAAACAAATGATAATTAATAATAGTTGTAATAGTTTAATTAAGGTATTTTGTATTTCTACCCACCTAAACATTGCAATTTGTATATATTTTTTTATAGGTACAAAATGAACGACGACTGCGCGCGGGCAAACCAATAGTCGTGGAAGTCACATTGGAGAGAGAGGATGAAGTGGTCGGACCGGTTATTGCACCTTTCTTCCCGCAGGTAGCGTTTCATTATATCTTATTATTTCAGATTGGCTGGTGTAAAAGCTAGAGATGCACAAACCGGGGGGTCTTGGTTTTTGGAGCTAGAAGAGAGATCCAGCGATGTGTGGATTGGGTCTACTGACTACTACCGCTAAATTTATTCAACCTTTAACGAAGGAGATGTACTGTCGACATATTGTGGCTTTGGAACGCGGAAATCCACAGACTGAAACCAATTCTCTGACTGACTAACTGATTGATGGGCCCGTTGGTGTAATGGTTTAATGGTGGTGCTCTGAGCGTGAGCAACAGCACGGAAAGCTGACGATGCCGGTTCAAGTCCTGCCCGAGTCGAAAATTTTTTCAATTTATTTTCGATTTTTAAATAATATATCGCGTTTTAAACCGTTAAAGTGTTTGTTTTAATGTCATATTAATGTTCCACAGAAACGCGAAGAGGGCTGGTGGGTTGTCATCGGCGATCCGAAATCGAACACGCTCTTATCGATCAAGAGGGTGTCCCTCGGTCGTTCGGCGAATGTGCGGCTGGACTTTGTGTGTGGTAGCGCTGGTACTCACACTTACACGCTCTACTTCATGTCTGATGCCTATCTTGGTGCTGACCAGGAGTACAAGTTCACGGTCCACGTGGAGGAAGCCGCTTCGGACTCCAGCGATTCTGAGTGATGATTGAGAGTTTTTTTAATGAATATAAATAAATTAATACTAGGAAGATAAGGTTTTTTTGTATCCAAAAAGCTATTTGAATATCTAAAGCCGAAATAAGTCGACATTGCATCTTGCTTAGATGTTTAGTTATTATATGGCTATATTTTACCTCCCATAAAGGGAAGCCAGGGAGGTGCGGCCTTGTGGTTCCCATGAAGAAATAATTCAACTATACAGGGTGCTGTCAAACTTATCACGTTAATTTTAAAGGAGTTTGATAGGTTCTGTGTATATTTGCAAAATTTCATTAACATCGGTCCAGTAATTTAGACGCAAGGCGATTTTTTTCTTAACAATAATATTAGTTTATACAAACAAACAACTACAAACTCTAGGAGAAATGACAATCATTTATAACTGAGAAGCGCGTGTTGCTATTAACATTTAACGGTTTATAAAGCGATATATATGCGTTATTTGAATAAAACACTAACGGTGTACAACGCGATATATATTCAAAATTATTTTAACTACGGGTCTCCCCGTGACCACGATTGCTGCAAAGCATCCGAAACGTCGGGCCGTATATTTCCGTTAACATATTGTGTTTTATTTAAATTTCTACTAGTCATGTAAACTACATACAATACTTAATAGAATAAAGGTGTAGAAATATTACCTTTGCTTATTTTACATAAAAAAATTGTTATTATAATGGGTAAAAAAGTTTAAATTAATGTATAAATCAGGCGGCGCCTTGTATAATAAAAAATGTTAAAATCAATAATAAAACCAATTTAATTTAACAATTAAATCATTCAAATCGGGTTTATTTTCGTTTGTTAAATATTTATCATTAACATTAAAAATTCAATGCAAATTCATTTTATCAATTTAATTAGTCAACAGTAAACAAACAAACATTTGATACAAACAAACCCTTATCTTAATAGTATAAATTATTCCTAATTAGCCTTCCTTCTGGTCCCTCAATTGAAAATTATTAGAGGAGCATGCCCATTTCAGGCCACCAATGAACAGTAAAAATAAATAAAAAAACACATCTTTTACACATGCAACCATATATACCTATTTTATATACATATGCATAAATGTCTTTCTAAACGAATAGAACAATAGATAGTAAATTACAGAATAAACATAGAATTAACGTTTATTCAAAGACAGCAAGTCCATTTTTGGCCTTGCACACTATAGAAAGCGGGCATGCAGAGTAGCCTAACTGCAATTTTATAACTTGACTTATTTATATTTCTATAGTCTAAAAGTGACCGAATTGTTAACATAATTCTTACACAAATAATAGTACAGATTCATTTTCGCGTAAGTTAATTGCGCATTTTTATTTCCTCCTGATTGAAAATCATGTTTTTTTGCTATTAGGCCACTCTGGCCCTAACAATTTACTTTATTTTAACATTAGGTAATACACCAGCACAGTTCACTTTTTCTAGTTCCAAGTGCAGTTGTTTCAGACGAGCCCTGGCTAGCGTGAGCGATGCGTTTGTAGCTCTCATACTTTCCTGAAATATAATAATAGGTTCAGTGGTAACGGCCAACCGTCGGGTCGTGGTTGCGATTCTCAACAAGTCGGAAAATTGGCGATTGTAACATTCACGAACCATTAGATAGCATACCTATACTGTCTAGGTTACAAGAGAACATATTTGAATAAAACACTTTTAACAGTTTCAAACGCGAGATGTAATCTATAACTTACAACATAGTTTAAGTAAATTACAATTAGGTTAACTAATACATCTCGCGTTTGAAACCATTAAGGGTTTTATTTAAATTTAAAAATATCTCTAGCTCCGCAAGTTGTACAGATTGTATAGAACAATTTAAACGGCTTCAAACTGAACTGTTAGGTTGTTGTTAAGAACTGACAGATCAACAATATTGCCAATTTTTTTATGGTAGAGATACGCATTCGTCAATGGTTCGTGACCCGGGGGGAATTTCGATATTGATTACAATACAATTGATTAGTTGATTATTAGCCCATGAGTTCATGTTTTAATCAGTTTAAATGTATTTAAGATACTCACTTGTACACTAAGCAAAGTTTTATCTGCTCTTGACAATTTTTCAACGGCATTGCTTGTTGTGTTCTCGACCAAACCTTCAAGACTAGCTTGCAAGGACACATTGCATTCCCCTGGATGTACAAAAAGATAAGTACATTAATACATTTGAAAAAAACACTTTAACGGTTTAAAACGCGATTTTTATTATTAGTCTCCCCTTGAGCACGGCCGCTGCAAAGCATCCAAAACGTCGGGCCGTACTATATTTCGCGTTTTAAACCGTTAAAGTGTTTTATTTAAATGTGTACTTAAACTACAGACAGCATTTATCATTAATACATTCAATATCATTAGAGAGTAGGTTCTGATATACATCCGAGTGTGTTTGTTGATCACTCATTTCTTTTAACTTATAAAATTAGGAGAGGAAACTTCAAGAAAAGAATAAGTTCTTCTAGTTACTAAATTACCAGTATGAGTTCTAGATAATTCCCCTATGTGTCGTGGCCTAAGTCCAAATTGTCATTCTTGAGCTTACATTATTGAAGTAAACACTTATTTTTTGTGCAGTCTTATGTTTAATCTTATTGAGGCAAACACAATTAAACACTTCTTATTAAAATATATCACTTTCGACGGTTTAAAACAGGTTTATGTGCCTTATTTACTATTTATTTTAAATTGAGTGTTTTATTCAAATGACTACTTGAGTACAGTAAAAACTTATTTTTGTTATTTATACTCACATAGCTTTTGATGTAAGAGTGACTTGTACATCACTTTGGTTGGTGACTTTGGTGGAAACATTGATATATGCAGCGGAGAATCCACTTCATTTTGTGAAGACCTCGATGGGAGCTTTGATTCTGGGAAAAATATCTAAGTATCTTTAAAAACAAGAACAATATAGAAGGTCGTTACTCTTACATTAACATAATGTGCATCTCTATGTAGTTGAAAGAGGCTATACTGCAACTTGTTCTATTTCTGGACTAATTATATTATTATGTTTTTGCGAATTCTACTTTCGCCTATGGTCTGCCAAGGACATTTCTCAAATTATAATATAAAGCTACCATAAAACGTTAACTCACCATCATCGGACTCCGGAGCTTCTCCTGATATGACAAAGCCTTTGGTACTTGTACACACATCCTTAAAACATAAATTATCCAGATTTATAGTATCTATATTTTTTAACTAGCTGGTATATTTACTACAAAATTTCTTTGCTAAAAGATGCCTTTTATATAACTTAATTTTGATATTTCAAGTTTAAAATAATGATCGATTGATAATTACTTTTCTAAATGGCATTTTTTGATTTTATTAAACCATTAGCTTGCAATTGTGCTTATATTATCAAGAACTGACATGATAGATTGATTTTGGAACATTATAAATTATAATCGAAAACTTACTGGAGATCGTCCTATTTCAATTTCTACTTCTGAATCAGATTCGGACGCTTCGCCGTCAACCACATTGGCTGTTTTGGACATTTTAATTAGTATATTAATGTTCTTAATAATTATTAATTTCTGTTATATGTTGATTGTTTACACTTCGTAACCTCTGTATGACAGCTGACACATCCACATTACCACATATGACACTGACGTATAACTTCTTTAGAGACATCTGTCATTACTTATAGCCCAAACGCAAGACATTCACTACATATATTTTGCGACTGGCTAAAATGGTAAACGTTGACAAAGCAGTAATAATATTTTAAACTTATTAATATATTCTAGTCAAATTAGGTACCTGTTTATAGAACAGGACCTAAGTACCAACGTATCAATACTAAAAATACTATATGTATGTTTTTTATATAGACTAAAAGATTCTAAACTGTTTTTAATTCGAATGTGAAAAGTGTTGCCTGCCAACATTTACGCACAAATTGAAACTCCAAGAGGTTTAATTATCAATAAATTACTTAGATTATTCATTATCATAATTCGATGAGTGATGTCATTGGAGAAAAAAAAACAATTAGTTTGTCATGTTTAAATTCCTGTTTAACGTGTAGCACGGTCTGATTTAATATTTAATCCTTAGTCCTGGCAAACATTCTTTTGCCATACTAACTATTGGATTGCCATAAAAAATGTTCTTGTGGGGTAATAGTAAAGTATAGACCCTATTTATATATTATATACTAGACCTTTAGATTATTTAAAGAATACTCCCCTTATACAATCCACAAAGAAAACTTTTGTGTTTTTTCCACGTTTCCCTCTGTTTCTTTACTCCTCCTAAGACTCAGCCTAAAGCCTTGCCCGAAAATGATTTTTTAACTTCGGAAACGTCGGGCAAGTTAAAAATCATTTTCAAATAAGTTTAACTAATATATCGCGTTTAAAACCGTTAAAGTGTTTTATTTAAATGGTTGTACTACTCGCGTAAACATAGACAGTATTTTCTAGGTTATTCAAACAGGGAATCATAATATTTTCTTAAGTTTATCTTGAACCGTTTTCGCAGCGTACGAATCGGAAGCCCTCAGCTATGAATAATTGTCCCTCTATTTTTACACATTTGCCACTAGTTCCTTTACTCCTATTGGTAGCAGCAGGTTTATAGCCTAAGGCCTTCCTCAATAAATGGTTTTAACCAAGATTAATATTTTTTGAGTTCGAACTACTAATTTAAGTAATTCTTTAAATTAGCGCGTCCATTCTTGAACAAACTCTACAGCTTGAAAATTTTAGTTTAGATGTATTCTTTTATATAAATAACTGCCATTCTTTACTCTGCTCTTTATAAAACTTTCTATCACGTTTATGCTGAAGCTGTATTAATATTTAAACACAAATTTTAGCGCCCAAAATAATCATTTTACGTGGACGAAGTCGCTATAAAAGCTATTGTATCATAATATGCCCATTCTCATCTGCGCCTGTTAAACGGTTCGGCTTTGAGTAGAATAGAGTAAAATATTTTTTACTCGATCAAATTTGTTGGAGGTTATATATATTGATACTGGCTAGCAACACTTGAAATTTTAAAATGTTCTTTCTATGTTTATTTGAATTCCCAGGATATTGTTTTATGAAAAGAAAACAGGACTTCTCTTCTCGACACGCCGGACGAAACACGTCCGGGTTTTTGTACATATTTATTATACAAAATTATATTAACAGTGCAAATAAATATATGTGAAAGTTGAAGTGCGTGTGTTTTTTATAAATATCCCTGCTCCGCCCTCCCACGAGCCGAAGCTTCCACGCGGGAATATAGTAATATTCCAACAAAATTGATACGACTTGCCGTGCGAATTGGATACATAAGGAATGTAGCGGAAAGGATTCTGCCAATAATTTTATATGTGATTTTGCAGTTATTAATTTAACTTGCTGTATAATATTTAAATGGCGTGAGGTATTTTGAGACTGAGTAGACCATATTATATAATTCAAAGATCCTAGTTATAAAAAAAGATTTACGTTTTGTTGTCAAAAATTATAACTTCTGTTAATGCTTATTGTGTGATGAGTCTATTTACATACTGATTTAATCTCTAGAATAAGATTTGGGTTTATTTACCTATTTTCCACAAGAAAAAAATACTTAGAATTGTATTTTTTGTGATTACTTCTGTTATCTATACATTTGAGTGCAATTAATGTTGGCACGATTTTATCAAACCAGTTTGACAATACCGCGCCTTTAGCTATTTTTGTAAATAAACGATAATTTTTTTTGGTTTGAATTTTTGTAGTTCTTTATAAGCTATGCGTACCTGAATAAATGTTTTGATAATAACATTATTTTTTTTCTTTTAATATCAGTTTCCTAAATATAGATGAAATTCCTCAGGGGCTCGGTATTATCCAACTCTCCCCTACTAGTTTTCATAATCATGCGAGATTTTATTTGCATAAACTACATTTAGGATTGAGGAGTTCCTGTGGAGTCCCTCGTTCCTGAAGCATGCAAGGCAGTCTTTCCAAACGATCGAGAGACGACTTGGCAAATGCATCGCAACTCCTCGCGAGAACTTGTAATTTGTCCACATTCACATTTTTCTTGTTTGTGATCTATTTTCAATCTTGAAAAGATGATATTACTGACAATATTGAAACACAACAGGTTTGGCTCTAAGTGATCTAGACTCTAGCGCAAACTTTGAGGACGTGATAAAAATAAAAAAAAGCCAGACAATATTGGGCCACGCAACGAATCAAAACAGAACAAGGTAATAATTAAATGTTTATTCAAGACTAGGACGCTTTTCGGGTGTACTCGGATGTTTTCGGGCGTTCCCGGTGATTCTCGGAAGTTCTCGGCACTAAGTTGAATAGGATATAGAAAACCAGAGCGAGAAAAAAATAAAGCACACAAAAACATGAAGAACTCTTTTACTATGTTTTAACGTGGACGTGTTCAAATAACACAGCGACAAATTATTCTTACTATTTACAATAATAAGTATCGTACAATTTATTATCTATCCCGAAGAATTCTTAATATCGCCTAATGTTTAAAGAGATATATTTTTATAAAAGAAATACCTAATCCATATTATTATATCAAAAATCTTTATGCTAATACTTTTAAAAGGGTGGACATTTAACTGTGTCTTAATTCGGTTTCAACTTAATATTAAGAATGTAGCAATTTTAAGAATTCTCGACTTCTAAAGATTAACAAGGAGCTCATCAAAGTTTAGGTTAATTTAAGCTAGCGGGGTTACATTCACATTAGAAGGCGTAAAATTATCGTACAGTACTACATTATGACAATGATATCGTACAACGACCGAATCTATGATTTTGATGGATATATTGCCTCGGATAGCATTGTATGTTATAATCAAGGGGTCGTGGATTCGATCCCCCCTAATAACATTGTAGAATCAATTTATAATACTAAAACAGGTTAAACTCGGAAATATGGATATTAAATCAGTCCACAGATAAAGACGTGTAGTTAAATAACGTTTTGTTTATCTGTGATGTTGTGTTGTGGTTGTAAATAGATCGACAGCACATCCTATTAAGATGTCTCTGCTTTCATTGAGTGAGCCGTGCTTGTCTGTTCCTTATCATATTGTAAAACTATGTATTTCACGTTCCTTCTAACGTGAACATCAAACGGAAACTATGTTCTCTACTTCTATTATAATACATTTAATATTTGTCTAGTCTAAAACGATTCGATAAATTCTATAAAACTAAAAAATAGATAACTGACAAATGTATTTTTATCTTTAACGAAAACATTCTCGAATAACTTAGGATATCGACTCTAAATATATTAAGGCATAGTCTAAGAGACATAAAGGGAACTATAGCATAGTCTAAGAGCGAACTTTGAAACTGAGAAACGTTTCCAGAATCTCTCTCAGTCTTTTAAATAAACACTAACTTTACGAGACCGATTTGAGAGATTGGCCTCTAAAAATAATTTTACAGGCTCAGCTATCCTCTATAGCTAATCGTTAACTAGCTTACATTTAATCGAACATGCGTTAACATTACATTTCGGAAGTATAAACCAAAGATGTACTACGTTACATAAAACACTTTCTAACGTCTTGAAACGCGAATAATTAACTATGAAGGTAAAAGTGTTTTATCTAATGTGTTCTTTTTGCGTAAACTACAGACACAACTTTACATAGAATGCATTTTTCAGATTTTATGCGAGGGTTAACCGCTCAGTTACGTAACGCGTTACGGCGCCTGTCTGTCTTTTTTCTTAAGCACACGGCAAGCACGACTAAGCCTAGTTTAAGTTAATTAGTAGCTAGTATTTACTTCTGTCAGACGTCACAAGACGAACACGAATTTTCGAAATGATAACTTTGTGTAGCAGATTAAATCGCTACGTTACGTAACGCGTTACGACGCCAGTTAAGATGTCGCTTATTTCGTGCGTCCCCAAGACTAGCAAGATTGGTTGTAAGCGTTTTGGAATAAAATAAAAATTTCGTAAAATTTTCAGCAATTTCATATTATATAACAGCACGACATTTATAGGTAATATTTTTTTGACGAATTTCATAAGACAGTTACCTACCTTTGAGTTGATTAAAATTTTACGAGTAATATCTATGGATGTGTTAGCGGGAAACCTAAATTAATAGCCTAAAAAGTATTCGTGTTTACAAACTACGTACCTAAGAAACTAAACTATTAAACTAACTAAACTCCGACTAATTATTATCATTACGATATGATAGAATTGCAAAATATGAATTGCTTTTACGTTTTTAAACATAATCAAAGACATCGCAATATGAAATAAAGCGGTTTGAAATTAACCCGACGACTGCAAATCTAAAATTTGAAATAACGACTTTTTTCCACGTTCGTTTGTTTTTTCGATTTTACTTTCGTAAATGTGTCATAGAAATTATATGGATGTGAAACTTAACGGATTTTGGAAAATAAATGAAATAAATCAGTTTGTCTATAGAAGGCGAAGATGCGCGTATATTTTTTCAACTACCGCCTGTAATGATTTTCAGCTGACAGTAGTTAAAAATTAATATATAACTCCAATGTATTCCACTTGCGTAAACTGCAAACAACTTTTAGCATACCATCAAGTTTAGTTTCAAAAGAAATGTTGAGGTATAACCGTAAACTGAAAGGGCTCATAAATTTATGACTTAATGCAATTCTAGGCAATGCATTTAAACATTGGAGACGGTCCATATAATATACGTTCGGCTGGCCAGGTTATAGGATGTATTTCGAATCAGTTGTTTAAATAAGAACGGTTTTTGCGAGTTTATAATAACAGATATATACTGTTGCGAACATTTATCTAGATTATCAAAAGAAAAATAATTGTTACACACACATTTTCGAGTATCTAAAACCGTTTTCGTTGTCGCGCACGCAACGAAAACTCTCGAAGGTGAACAGTTTTCCCCGTTTTTCCACTATGTCTTCGCCCCTATTGGTCGCAGCTTGATTTTTCATAGCTTGCAGCCTTCCTCTACCCAACACAAAATTAATATTTTTGTTTGAAGTTCTAGTGATTAGCGCGCTCAAACAAACAAACTCTACAGCTGTATGACATATAAACAAAAAAGTTGTAAAGGTCGTACTTAGTCGTCGGGTTATAAATATAGTATATATAATCTTTACTACCTTTTTTAATATTATATCTGTATGTGGAACACAAGCTTTTTACTACTAATATACGATACTATACAACAGCTTATAATTTCACAATAATCCCTTTTCAATATAACTATTTGGTTATCTGTCAAAATAAATAGATTCATTTAGAGTCATAATATAATAAATATTGTCTATCTTCAAGAAGGGGATAGTTAAAAATATCAATTTGCCTTTCTTAATCCAAAAACTTAAATCTAAGAATTCAATAAACTTTAAGAAGATAGTAACAGGACCAAAATATTGCTTAAACAATAGAATTCTTCTAGGAACATAATTTCTCTATATGTAAATAACAACAGATTATAATGTTAGAGAAAATATAATAACTTAGACGTACAGTCATTTGCAAGAATCTCTCCATTGCATATACAGTTAAAACCACTTTATCGCTAAGAAAAATATTAATGTTTATTATTATTACAATACGTTGCGCCAAATTAACTCTACGTATCAAATAACTAGCTGTGTCAGCGACTTCGTCCGCGAGAATCGTTATTTTGGGCATCCAAATTCGTTTTTGCAAACCCCTTCAACTTTTTCAATTTAAGCGGTTACCCACGACGTCGGTCGCATCCCTTCCCGTCGTACTTGCAAGTTAATCATAAAAGATAGACATACGTATAGCGTCGCGGTTTTTTTTCAGATAATTTAAAGAGGGAATCATTTTTTCATACATATTTGTTGGGTACTCCTCAAAAACCCATAATGATGAATAATTCCCATTTTTTCCCACTTTTCCCTCTGTATCTTTGCGTTTCTCGCTTTTCTCGATAAATGGTCTATCCAAGACAAAAATCATTTTTTGAATTTGAATTCGTAGTTTCTCAGATTAGCGCGTTGAAACAAACAAACTCTTCAGCTCTATATATTAGTATAGATAGTTCGAGTCAATTTGACGTAGATATTGTTTTGACATTCTGTAACTCAAATTAAAACATTAAAAAAAAGTTCAGAGTGGCTTCGAAATGTTGGTAAAAATTCTTGCAACTCACTGTTTTAACTTTGTTATTTCTTAGGTTAGATATTTTAAAATGACAACTGTAGTCATACAATTGTAATATTATAATAAATACACATTATAAAGATTACTTTGTCCAATACATAGATAGTAATTATAAATAAATCCGTTATTTGAAAGACGAAGTTCGTCAAAATTACTGACAAGACCAGAATCCTAATTCTGCTATTTAGAATTTCACTCGTTCGTACCAGAATCAGGTCCCGTGAATTTATGTAATGGAAATATTGTTATTATTTTACTCAAATATGTCTTAGTTCACTTTTTAGGAACCAATGCCCAAGCTTTCGATCGAAATTTGAATATCTTCAAACTGACTTTACCAGAACAAAAAATGATAGTTTGATTGCTGATTGATGTTAAAGCAATAGATATGAATATAAATATTAAAGATAGCAAAATTTGGATTAGGATTAGTTAACAACTTCACTATGAACAAGAATTATATCTGTAAATAAGGTATTCCAAAGAAATTGTCTGATCTTAACTTTGAGGTAGGTGTTCGAAAGCTTGAATGAAAATCCATCGAAATTTCTCTTCTCTTTAGGCGTTTATCAAAAAAATATATACCCTGTGTCTCGGTTTTGCTTAAATAAAACGTAGGATTTACACTAGAAATGCACGTGGAATCAGCTTCAATAGTGTAATTAAATTTTCGCTTTTAATTGTAAAATAACGAAATATTTAATTACTTTTACATAATTATGTTAACTGTATCTAATTATAATATAAAATTCAGTAGTTTAATTATTACACTACAAAATGCCAATACATACAAGTTTAATACTGGCTGGAAATAGAAATATCATAACGAATAAGTTTTCGAACTGGCATGTTATACAAGTTTTTTTATATAGTCTGTAGTTACAGTGTTATATGTAAAATAGAGTATAGCGAACTGGCAAGAATTATATACGTCTTATAGTCTGTGGTTGGGTTGAACATGTCGTAGATAGTAGAGATATTTCGCGCCAAAGCTAGACACAGATTTTCTACAGATGCATTATTTTAATTGCAGGGTCCGAATGTCAATTTAATTTGAAAGAAATATTATCGTAATTAAATCAATTTTCTGTTTAGTGGCTAACGGATATTTAATGAAGCCAATATTATATTGTTAAGTATATGTAAACTTAAATTTAAACGACATATTTGTCTCAAGTAATATACATATTACGTATTTTTAAACCAGCTATCCAAATATACATTTAAGAAAATTGACGTTCAAAATCGGATTGCGCAAAATTTTTAATTCAATGAGTCAGACAATTATTTGACTTTTTTTACAGGAACAAGGATAAAATTTACTCGTTTTATCTTAATAAACAAAGTGCGCTTGCGCAGGATGAGTGGATATCGACCAACGTTCAAATAAAACACTATTAAACGGTTTAAAACGTGATATATATTAGTTTGTTCGTCTTCCGATGACGGTTGCAAAGCATCAGAAAACTCTTCACGTAATTAAAATAAATTAAAAATAAGTCAATGTATATTTTTTTAACCGTTAAGTGTTTTATTTATATGTGCATTACTCGCGTAAACTACAGACAACACTTGGTATATATATTTTTAACAGAGATTTGAACATTCGGGACAATATAATACTATTTTGAGTGGAATGTCTGACTCATTGTCTTGTTATATGCGCAGGCGCAGATATATGTTTTCGCTTAGCGTCTACTTGTCCTTTAGAAGTGGAGGATGAGCAAGGAGCTGATGTTGGGACGTAGGACGCGGAAGTAGAAACGCTCGAGCGTGTCCAAGTACGGGGCGTACTGGGTGGCGCGGAGACGGTACGCGGCCGCCATGTTGTGTAGAAGCCCGTGGTGGCACTGGCAGTGCCGTGGCATATCTGTGATGAGACTGTAAAAATGTCAAAATAAAATTAGTATAATTAAACGGTTAAAAACGCGATATATATTAGTTAAAATAATTTTTACTACAGCCCCCCGTCTCCCCGTGACCACGGCCGCTGCAAATTATCCCAAACGTCGAGCCGTAGTTAAAAAAAATTCGAATTTTAACTTATATATACCGCGTTTTGAACCGTTTAATAGTTACGCATGCGTTACCGCAACTGTTTGATGCTATGGATATCAGTTCAAGTGCCGCCCGTGTCAATGAATTGTTTTTTTAATTAAAATAAACGAAATCCAGCGCATCTCATTCAGATGTTATATGGCTGGGGTGAACCCGATGCTTGTATGATGATGATGGATGGAACCCGATGGATGAATTTTCAAACATACCTAGTCTCACGCGCCGGTACATCGGTCTGACGTCATAGTCCTGTATCAAACATTTGAAGAGAGCGAGTGATGACGTCATCCTTCAGACACGACTCCAGGAACTCCTCAATCGTTATAACCCCGTCCTGATTCAAGTCGAGTTTCCTGAACACTCGGTCGACCTGGAATATTCGCTTTTTAGGGTTCCGTACTAAAATGGTCGAGGTCGACTTAATATTAACACGTTTAACGTCGCCTTGATTTTTGACGTGTTGTGTTTGGGCCGTGCGTGTATGCTAATATATAAAGCTGAAGAGTTTGTATGTGTGTATGTTTGAACGCGCTATTCTCAGGAACTACAGGTTCGAATTGAAACATTCTTCTTGTGTTTGCTGGAGCCTAAATCGATGAGAACGCTGTGAAAAGGGTTCAAGATAGCTAAAAAATATGTATAAGATATTATTATTATTTAATAGAAGAAAGAATAGCAGATTTTTTAAATATATAACACAAACTTGGTTGTGGTCAGGAACGATTTGGCCATTGTTTTTTCAGCTGTTACCAACGACGTCGTTCGTATAGCCTACCTCGATAAATAACTAACACAAGAAGAATTTCTAATTCGATACAGTAGTTTGAATTAAAAATTCTTCTGAACAAACAAACTCGTCAGCTATATATATTAGTAAGTACAAATAACTGTTACTTCAATACCTGTTCATTTGCTTTAGCGTCATCGATCCTTGACGCTGGTGATCCGGGTGGTGCCCGCCGCCCCAACAGTTCATGAACAGCCACCACCACCTCACCCAGCTCTTGCCGGGTTATCGCTCCATCACCATCCACGTCGTACAACCGGAATGCCCAGCGCAGCCGTTCGTACACAGAACCACGAAGTAGGGTGGATAGCGTTACGAGGAGCTCCTGAAATTAACGATTATTTGTCTATAATTTATTATGTTGACTATTAGCCGTGAATTACTTTTAAATAAAACACTTTAACGGTTTAAAACGCTAAATATTTGAAAATTATTTTAGCCAGTTTCTCCAAAAAACAGTTGCGCCTGTCGCAAAAATAGCAGTAGTACTCTAGTCTAGACCTAGAATACTAGAGTTTAACTCATTCTGGCGCTCTGCCAGTATCGCTTGACAACAGTGTAAATTGCCGTGAAGTTTGAGACTTGCAATTTGGAAGCTTCGCTACGATTTTTGCGAATTATTGAGTGAAAATAGCCTATTTTTGCCGAGCGGTATTTAGAAGTTTTGGAGTAAGGTATTAAACGGGATACAGTAAGATTACGAAATATAGCAGCCAAAAAAGCAACATAGAACCAGTTGTTATTTTCATAAAAAGCCCTAGTGAAGTACAAATAAATAAGTTTAAATCGTATATGCATGTATACAAAATTAAATGATAACGATGCTTAGGGTTTGAAGGAACAAGTAAAGAATTTGTGACACGAGTTTTTCGCCAGTTCTTCTCATTCGTTCTAGGCTCTTGATTCTAATAAAATCCCGCTGTTTATTCGCTCCTATTAGTCACAGCAATGTTTTATAGCCTTCCTCGATAAATGCTCTAACCAACACAAAAATATTTTATTCAATTCGAACACGTAGTTCCTGAAATGAGCGCGTTCAAACAAACATCTCAGCTTTATATGTTAGTATAAATATTTCCACAATAAAAAAATAACGGATTTTGTATTGGTTATATTATTGTAACTACAGTCATTGTTTTCTAGCATTGTACTAAATTAATTCCAAATAAAGAGAGTTATCATCTATACTAATATTATAAATGCGAAATTAACTCTGTCTGTCTATCTGTCCGGCTTTAACTCCGAAACTACTGAACTGATATAAATGATATTTGGTACACAGATATTTTAAAGCCTGCGAAAAGACATAGGCTAAATTTAATGCCAAAAAGGTATTAATTTTATTTTATAGGGGTTGAAAAAGGGGATGAAAGTTTGTATTGAAATTCGTGGTTGTTGAAGCTAGAACAATGAAACTTTCTTCTTAGGCTTTTTGGGAATAGAGTGGGAGTTAGAGTAGGAGTGATGTGAGGTGAGAGTGTTGCGGCAAAGTAGCACTTACAACATAGATTGGCTGCCTTAAATGTGCCCTTACATAAATTAATAAGCAGCCTAAATAATTAAAAATTCTACCCCAAGTCACAATTCCACGCAGACAAAGTTGCGGGCACAGCTAGTCATTAAATATATCCTTTGACATAAAGACTGAAACATAATGGGAGGGTAGTCAGCTTTAGGTTCTTATTGCGTAAAATGCGTGACCTAAAACAGTAAGGTCAACTGCGATGTTTACTGCGGCTACTTGAATATTTATAATGTTATTGTGAATACGCGAAAACTATACAGAGTGATATAAATAGTGAATTGTAGGGACTTATAGTGAATAACGTATAAGAACGTTTTATAACAAATAAGAAAGAGCTTCTGCTTTAAGATCGAGCGTGATTAGGTCAAATATAAAAGAGAATAGGCCAAAAACCAATGGAAAAGAAATAGTTTATTTGTAGGTAAAACAACCAAGCTAGCTCAAAAGGTATCTTTTAAAACCGCTACCTAACTATTATGTAAGTGTATTTATATTTTAATGTTCTAAATTTAAAAATGGACAATGTCAGTTTTGAATTTCGAAGTTTGCTCTAGATTTTCAACAGCACTAACTAAAGCAAAATAAGCTAGTAACAGACAGCAGTAAGACTTTCGTACAGCAGGCAAATCCTTTTGTATTCCTATACTAATATTGTAAGCTGTACAATTTTTTTTGTAATGCGAGCTAATCTTAAGAACTACTGGTTCAAACTGGAAATTTCTTTTGTGTTGGCTACGTCATCAGTGTCATGTGTCAAAATAATAAAAAATGTGGACAACAATACCGCGTTACTCCCTACTATCGTGCGCTGCAAAAACGGTTTAAGAAACCAAACGTTATTTATAAAAAGAACGAATCATTTAAAATAATTAAAATAATGTCGACAGTATATGACCATTCAAATAAAACACTTTAACGGTTTAAAACGCGATATATTAGTTAATTAAAGTTAATAATTAGTAAGTTAATTCGGCTGATGCTTTGCAGTAGCCGTGGTCACGGCTGCTGCAAAGCATCCGAAACGTCGGGCCGAAGTTAAAAATCATTTTCAAATAAGTTTAACTAATATATTGCGTTTTAAACCGTTAAAATGTTTTATTTAAATGTGTACTACTCGCGTAAACTATAGACAGTATTTAGTATATGACCACCTTTGAAGATTAACTCGCAAGAGTCGTCTTTGTAGTAACCAAATTAGATCTCTTCGAGACCACGGTTGCTGCTAAGGAACCGGACGTCGAGCCGTAGACAAAATATTTTTTAAATAGGTAAACTAGTACATAGCGCTCAAGCCGTAAGTGTTTTATTTAAATTTGAACTACTCGCGTAAACTACAGACAGTATTTGTATTATTTAAATTAGAATCCGAAAATAAATTAAAACAATTTACGAACCGAGTCGAATACAGGGCATCGTCGAATTTCAACTTATTGATACATACACTTCTCGCGCAATTTGATTTAATTAACATATCATATTATATTTTAAAAATAATAAATCAAATATTATAAATGCGAAAGTAACTGTCAATTTTTGTCCGGCTTTAACCCCGATACTACTGAACTGAAATGAAATTTGGTACACAGATATTTTAGAGCCTGAGAAAGGGCTACATGTTAATGCCAAATAAGGGTTGATAGGGGATGAAAAAGGGGATGTAAGTTTGTATGGAAATTCGTGGTTTTTAAAGCTAGAAGAATGAAACTTTCCTCTTTGGCTTTTTGGGAGTGGAAGTGGGGTTAGAGTAGGAGTGATGTGAGGTGAGAGTGTTGCGGCAAAGTAGCACTTACGACATAGATTGGCTGGCAACAGAGGCTGGCTTACATAAATTAATAAACCATAAATAATGAAAAACTCTACCCCAATTCACTATTCCACGCGGATGAAGTCGCGGGCACATTTAGTAATAAATATAAAAATAATAGCATTAATCTCGCAAACAACGAAACAACGTTAGCCGGAGCAGCATTATATTATATACATAAATATACAAAACCATGAATATCCTAAACACAAAGCGAATGTTCCCTAACCCCGGTATATCTTAAGGATAAGAGAAACATTAGGAAAGTATGAACGTTAGGCAAGTAGGTCGATGTTTGCCTTCACTGAAGTCGCGTCCCGACGATCAAAACACGCACATAAATTGTACTGTATGAGAGAAGCTAAGGCTGCGGTTTCATATAAATACTATAGCGGCAGAATTTGTTATAGAATACCATACGAATTAGAAACTTAATTCCATACAAGCTGAGTGTAAGCCGCGCAGCATATATTTCATGTTTAAAAGTTTAAAGTTCGTTTACAACTAGATAACTGCTCTAAGCAATACAAAAAGAATATTCAAACAAACAAACTCTTCAGCTTTATATACTAGTATAGATAGATTTTACCTGCGACGTCGTCCCGATGTTGCAAGTTAATCAAAAAATATAGGGATATAATATTAAGGACATTTTTTAGATCATTTAAAAAAAATCATTCTATCATATATATTTTTTGGTTTATTGAACCATTTTCACAGCACACGCAACGGAAGCCAATAAAATGAATAATTTTCTCCGTTTTTACCACATTTCAATCTGTTTCTTGGCTCCTATTGGTCGCATTGTAATATCTTATAGCCTTCTTCGATAAATGCTCTAACCGAGAAAAAAATGTGTTTTCAAATCGATTCATCAGTTCTTGAGATTAGTGCGTTCAAACAAACAAACTCTTTAGCTATTTTTAATAACTGTAATACGTTACAGTCATTAAAAAAATATTGCAATCTGCTATAAATCTTACTGCAGCGTTTATAGCAGACCGCAGCCTAAGAAAACTCTCAACTATAACGTTAACTTGTTTTCGTTTGTACAACAATTGTTTTACTTATTCAGTTTGCTTTGTATTGTTTTATATTCTCTTGTAAGGTTTAAACTGTTCGTAGAATATTTTTATATTGGTACATTTAGTGTACGAAGTTTAACTTCTTTAAACGTAATTATTAAGTACTTAAGTTTAAATGTTTAAACTGTTTTAAGTTTGACGTTACTTCGCCTTAATAAAATTAAATAAAAATCGGTAAAACAAGTTTTAAGTTGAACTGGTTTATTTTTTGTGCACGGAAAACTGCAAAAATATTTAAATTTCGACATAATCATCGTGTTTACTAGTGTAGCCCTTTCATTTGATACCCATATTGAGGGGGTCAAGGAAAAATATTTAATCCGCCATTTTGTATCAGCGGCCATCTTGGATTTATAATGTTTTTGATTTTATTATATTGTATTGTCAAATTTCAGATCAATCTGACAACGGGAAGGTGCTTAAATTTCAATTTCTAATTTTGACCCAAATAAGTAAATTCCGCACGGGTCGAGCTATTTAAAAACTAACTCACTGAATACTATCTGTTGTTTACGTAGTACAAGTAGTACACATTTAAATAAAAAACTTTAACGGTTTAAAACGTGATTTGGACAACATAAACGTCTCTTCAAATCTGCGGTATGCTAACACTCGTCTGAAGGGCATAATCGCTACATTCCATTGCTTTGACCACCCAAAAAGCCTCGGAAAGGAGAGCCGATTTTTTCCAAAGACGGCCTCAAGACACCCTTGTTCAGTTCTGCAAGGGCTCGGCCAGTTTCGCCAAATACCAACTTCGACGGAACAGATGGTGCTAGCGTAGCAGTCTTTTACTTTGACGTAAGAGACACCCTGCATCTTTAGTGTCCCCACGACCACAGTTGCTGCAAAGCATCCGAAACGTTATGCCGTAGTGATTTGAATTTATAAATAAGTTTAACTAATATATATCGTGTTTTCAACCGTTAAAGTGTTTTATTTAAACTAACTCAGTGAGAAGAATTCAATATTTTTTTTACCTATATTAAATTTATACTTTACTTATAATTTTTTTTTATAGAGGTATCAATTATTATTACATAATTATTTCAATAAATAAATATCTATTTTTCGTTTTTTACACGCTATAATATTTTTCACATGATGTCATTATATAAAATCTATTTAAATAAAAATGCCGATATTGGACTTTTACTGGTATCCGAGGAGCGGATGTATCAATGGTTTGAAGAAATTCGACGATGATGTGTAGGACGCGGTTGCTTAACGGACGGATCAAGTCGCGCCCTTGTCGTAATTTTTTAAATATTTTTTTTAGATATACTAGTGTACCCACAAACGTTGTTTCGCTATTTAAATTATTTCTAAACAATTCCTACTGTCCTACTGGGCGAAAAGAAACTCCAGAGTACACCTGGGGGGGGATAAACTACCTACTAAGTTTGGTCAGTTAGCGAACGGGATGAAAAACGATTCAATAAAAAAGTACATTTGGGTTTTATGTATTTTTAATAGCATACTATAGAATAATAATAAAAAATGACAAAAAATGTTAAGGGTGAACGACCTGTCACTTCAGGGTTTGAAAAACTTACTAAATATGCATACAATTTGGTAAAAATCAATATAGCCGCTTCGGAGGTGTAAGCTTACTAACATCGAGAAACAAGAATTTTGTATAAACAAGATTTTAGTAGTACTTACCCGAAAACTTATTGCGCCGCTACAGTTCACGTCGAACGCCTTGAAAACATAATGTGCGTACAGCGCTGAGTCTGAAAATGATTGTATTGGTTAAAATCCATTCCAGGCCACAGGTGAACGTTGCGTTGGTTTATCCTTACTAATATTATAAATGCGAAAGTAACTCTGCATCCATCACTTGGACGGCATCTTCAGGAGATGTTGACTCCTCTTGCTCGAAGAATTGATTGGATTGCCAATTCTTCAGTGATGGCGAAGATGCCGTCCACACGTGATGGCGAAACGTCGAGAACCTCTTCTCGCTCACATCGGCCGAACAGCCCGAAAGACAATAATATGCTGATCGATGGCCGTGAAAGCCTTACTCAATTTATGAAAGTAACTCTGTCTGTCTGTCTGTTACTGTTTCACGGATTTGAAAGAAATTTGGTACACAGATGGTCTGGACCCTGATAAAGGACATAGGCTTTTTATTGCGAAAAGGGGGTTGTAAGTGGTTAAAAGGGGGGTGATTGAAGCTATAACAATGAAATTTTCTTCTTTGGCTTTTTGGATAGAATGAGTGAATAGGAGTGGTAGTGGGAGTGAGTGTAGGAATGAGAGTGGGAGTTAGGGTAGGAGTTATGTGAGGTGAGAGTGTTGCGGCAATGTAACACTTATAACATAGATTGGCTGCGATAAATGCGCAATTACTTAAATTAATAAACAGCCTAAATGATTAAAAATTCTACCATAAGTCACTATTCCACGCGAACGAAGTCACGGGCACAGCTAGTAATTAATAAATACTGTCATTAAATATTATTATTACTTATTAAATATTAAAATATTATAACCGAACGAATACAAATATGCTTTGCTTTTTAATTTTTTTAATTTTTAGACATTGTGTCATATTATTTAGTAAAAATAGTAACAATTAGTACATTCTCTACCTTCTATGTTCAGTTTTGGTCTATAGAGAGGGAGAGTGATCCATGTTTGTGTTTCTTCTATCACAAAATAGAAATTTAAAAAAAAACGAATGATACTTACTCCCATGTGGAAAAAACTTCGCGTAAATGTCTTTAAATGAATCTTCGTGCACAACGCCCTCTGGACATTCCTGAAAAGGAAAAAGTATTTTAATTTAAAAAAAATCAAATCAAGATCCTCGGGTAGTTAAATAAATTTTCAAATATTTTTACAATTTATTGACTTGACCAGACCTCGAACCTATGATCACATATGGACCTATGGTAGAGCAACTTTGTTGTAAACGAAACAGCGCGCACAGCACAGCCTTAGTTTCGTTTCAGGGTTTTATTTAGGGTAAATTGCTTTCAAATATCATATGTTTATTAAAAACATTACCTAGTTGCTACCTTTGTCATTAAGTTTTTTGAACTCATAAAAGTGATCATTCCCCTAATTTAATTTGTTCTCCTTATTTTCCCAAGAATGGTTGCCTGGAAGAGATCGCTTAATTGACCGTTACTCTCCATAGTTTATAGACAATATTCCTTGGTTCATTGTAATTGTGTGTGTGTTTTGTAATATAATAAATAAATACAAATAATTATATACTTTTTCTAAGTCCCGTTTATCCCGTTTTAGTGAAACAAACTCTTTTGTTTCGCTAAAACAAATAAAACTCCCGATATTCCGAAGAACTAATTTTTAACAGCGGTTTAAAGAATAAAAAACAAGTGGCCTTAATAAAGACAAGATGGCCGCTTCAATAAAAAACAAGATGGCCGGCGCTTTCATGCATACAAAATGTAAATAACTTTACACCGCACACAGTGTTTCACCAGTGAACCCTGAATTTTAATACGTAATACAATTTGAACCCTACTGTGTACTGCATAATTGATTGTTACGCTCTTCTCACGGTATTCTTGACGTAACAACGTTGTAAAAAAATATTAAAAGGGCTGAGGATATTTGTCTTGTACTTGATAAAATAGGTCATATTATTTCTTCTAATTATTTCTCTATGATATCGATGCAGCCTACATTTCAAGATCAATTATTTAAGTCTAGTAACTTATGAACGTCACACCAGTTAAAAAATAAAGACTCTATATTACTAATAGTTCCCAGGCAAGAACGTACGAGAAGAACTGGCAAGAAACTCGCCGCCCACTCCTTTTATCGCCAAGTTTTTGTTACAAATTCCTTACGCAGTAAAAGTTAAGGTATTTCTTTGTTGGTGCGGGTTCCTCCAAACCCCAAGCATTTGCGTCAATGGCATATTGATTCACGTTATAATAACCGTTTTCAATTAGCTTTTGTTAAATGAAGGATTTCAACCTAAGGTTTCTGTGGTATGTGTTATACAAAAAAGTTTGAAAGTAGCGATTTTATTAATTATTACGAGGCAAAGAAAATCGTTAGTTAAATACTGTCTATAGTTTACGCGAGTAGTACACATTTAAATAGAACATTTAAACAGTTTAAAAGGCGATATATTAGTAAAACTTATTTGAAAATGATTTTTAACTTCGGCCCGACGTTTCGGATACTCAGCAGCCGTGGTCTCTGAGTGACATGGCCGCTGTCTCAGAGCATCGCCGAAACGTCGGGCCGAAGTTAAAAATCATTTTCAAATAAGTTTAACTAATATATGGCGTTCTGAACCGTTAAAGTGTTTTATTTAAATAATCTTTAGTTCTTATCAAAACTGATTCCACCAAGTGAATAGAAAGAAGATGGCAAGCTAGGAATTTATTAGTGAGCTGTAGAACAGCGATTACAGACGAAGGAAGATCTAAACGTAACGGAGAAATCAATACCGACCTGGAATTGATAATAAAAAAATCGGTAGGGCGGTAGGGTACGGTTTAAAACGCGAAATATATTTTGAAACTTTGTCATTGAATATTTGAAAAAACCAAAAATACAGTAGCTACTAGTTCTATTCGCGTTTTAAACGGTTAAAAGACTTTTTCTTATTTAAAATATACTAGCTTAAACTATAGAAAATACCTATTACTAATAGTACTAATTGAGGAGACAAAATATAGTGTAAAATCATGTAGGGTGTGATTTTTTTTTGCATTTTTACTACAGAAATTTAAAACATAAATTGGAAAAAAATGTTCGAGACACCGGCTCTCTCGTTCCCTCTGTTGCTTTACCAATACCGAGCTATATGAGTCTCTCCCCGTGACCACGGCTGCTGTAAAGCATCCGAAACGTCGGGTCGAATTAAAAAACATTTTCAAATAAGTTTAACTAATTTGTCGCGTTTTAAACCGTTAAAGTGTTTGTATCTATAATTATATAGTGCCTTCATGTGCAGTACCTCTAACCGCCTCTGTAGCCAAATGGTTAAACGCGTTGCCTTATGCGCGAGAGACTCTAGGTTCGAATCCGAGGGGAACAAAAAAAATAAAAATTCGGTCGTGCAGGGCACAGACGTCTGATCAACTACTTACTTAAAAATGAACGGATCAATGAAACGCACATAGAAATGTGTTCGCCCGACGCCCCACGAAGGGGAAACGGGAGTTCACATTTTTTTCATGTGCACATGTGAAAAACATTAAAGTTTTCACTACAACATTATTGTAATCTACCCAATAGAATATTCATCGACGCGCGAACCACCACAAAATTTAAAAGCCTAGAAAAATAATATGTTTTTAGTCCATCACCGCAAAACTACAAAACACCGTTCCATTTAAAAGCGGAAAAATACAAAACAAACGTGAGTTTCCGCCCTTTTCAATCCGTTGAGAATTATTATCGACAGCGCTCGAGTTAAGTGCGATAAAGAGTAAAGAGAAGTAAACAATGGAAAACGGCCAAGCGCGAGCCGATATTGCTCACGGCGGGTTCCGTACCCTTCGCCTCTTAAAATACAGTACATTGCACTTACATATACGTAATATTTTCTCGTAATTTATATTACAATTAAAATTAGACGTGTATGATGTTTCAGTGCCTACCTGTTGCTATATTTGATACTAGCTGAGCTGGCAAACGTTATTTTGCCATACAGTTGCAATTAAATTTGATTCCCATAAAACGGTTCTTGTGGGTAAATCTTAAATAGAATCACACAGTTTATATTATATACTACAGTTTTGGACATTTCTGTAGATATCATTTAAAGGCGAACAGTGATTTTATTTTGAATATCTCTAACCGTTTTTGCGAGTACGGAACGGAAGCTATCAAATATGAATACTTTTCCCCGTTTTTCCACATTTCCTTCAATTATTCCAGATCAATAAATACGAATAAAGAGAAAACTGATGATTTATAGCCTTAGGATATATTATGGTTCATTCTTAATTTGAAAAGTTGTGTTTATGTTGTTGCCGAAATTAGCGCGTAAACATTTAAAAATTTAATTTAACGTAAAAATTTCAAACAAATAAACACTCTATATTACAGTACAATTGTTTGATCGATATTTATACAAAAAGATGAAATAAGTATTTTTTTTTATTTGTTGTTATAGCAGCCACATAAATATATAATACATCTGTCATTTAAATAAAACACTTTCAACTGTTTAAAATGCGATGTTCGTAGTCACGGGTCATCGACGCTACGGTTGTGGACCACGGCTGCTGCAAAGCATCAGAAACGTCGGGCCGTAGTAAAAATAATTTTCAAACAAGTTTCCCTAATATATATCGCATTAAACCTTTAGCGTTTTATTTAAATTTGTTCTACACCGTTAATGTTTTATTTAAAAGAGAAACTACTCACGTTAAACTACAGACAGTCATCTTATCTTAGTACATCTGTCATCAATAATCTGGGGAAATAAGAAAAAGTAGAGCTAAAGCGGTTCTTGATAGATACTACCAAGCAAAAAGTCAGAAAGCGAAGTATACCTATATCCTATTAATAGATTCCCGTTTTTACTATTTGTATACGTAACCCTAAAAAAATATTCGCAAAATGATTTCTCTCAACACAAAGAACAATGCATGAGCCCAGTAATGAGGGAAAGAAATAAAAGTATTCAAAAGCCAAGGTTGGAAAGAGATAGATATGCTTCCCATTTGGAAAGGTCAGTAGGCGAAGTCGACGACCGTTCCCGCCGAAAATAGTTCGCGCGCTATTTGTTGTCATTTTGACACGAGATGTTATGTCATTGCAGTCCAATTTTAAATGTGTTCCAACAGTTGGCCGGAATTATTGAGAATCGTGATGCCACAGAGTATTTAATATTCGTAATATATTTTTTTATTTATCATCTGTTACATACACTCCTCACATTCAACAATGTAACTAATTAATTTGTTCAGGAAAATTAGTATAATATGATTTATTTCTTTTAAATAAGCAATAAAAAGTAATGTAGAATTTATTTTTATATCTACTAAATATGTAGACAAGATTAAGAGATGACCAATTTATATAATAAGAAATATACAAAAGTAATTATGTCTGTTTGACTTGACACCCAAAATCTTGAAGATTTTTAAAAATACATATATAAATTGATCAGGAACAAGTTACTTCTATGGTAATAAAAATAAAACGTTTTATTAGTCACACATTGCTACCATTAAAACATAGAGTATATGAAACAAATAGACTAAGTATATGAATTAGTGTTGTTTTGTTCAACAAGTATTTAGCACTAATAGGTAGTTTATTTATTTAATATTTACATATGTGCTGACTGTCAGTGTAGTAGGATCTCAATATGATCCATAACATTTAATTAAAACCCCTTCTAACCGTTTAAAACACGAAATATATTAGTAAAGTAATTTTAATTACAGTCTGACAAAAGCGTCCGGAACGCTTTGCAGCAGCCGTGATCACGGGGGGGGGGAAGGGGGAGGGGGGTCCTCAAACCAAAAAAAAAACCCCTAACCCTTTTTTTTAACTGATGGTGTAAATGCCTCATGCACGCCCACGTCGAGCAAGTGTGACGTGGGGAGTGTGGTAAATCGTATAGCCGACCAGAACCACTAAACACACCACCAGCCCTCTACGGTGCTTAGAGGGCAAATCTGCTACCCTAGCGCTATCTGTTTCCTCGTAATTTGCATTGGGTGAAACTACTACCATACAAGGAAAACATAAGCTACAGACCATACTTAATTGTCTATGACATTAGAAAGTGACAAAAGATTAATATAAGTCTGT